TTTGATTCTGTAGACAAATCCTCAGCTGGTGACGACTGAACAATATCCATAGCACAATCCAAATCTGACATATCTATGTGATTGATTAAATAGAATTATCTCTAGTTAATTTATACTAGTAAAAAAATCCAAAAATAAACTAGACTTCACTTTGAAGAATCAAAAACATAAAAGAATAAAACTTTGAGCTAAAAATTAAAATCCGTCAACTTTTCCAAACTTAGGGTTACGGTAGACAATAAACCAATTCGGCAGCTTCTGAACCTTTTCAACCTTTTCGTGCACTGACTCTCCTCATTTGTAAACATCCTTGCCAGATACTTCTCATCATCAACCAAGCTGAAGCTAGAAGCAACTTGACTGTACTCCTCAGCTGCTACAATCTCCCTCTATCGGTCGCTTTAGAAAAGAGGAATGAATAGGAATAGAAAGATTGTCCTCCACTGATCTTTGTTTTCTACCCACTGCCCACTCACATAATAGGGAGCCATACAGAGGAAGATCTAAGCTCCATCCATAGATGCATTCCAGGTTGATTGATTGATTCTGGGCAATCAATCAGTACCACCATAGTGGGTTTCTGATCCTGGATTGTGGCTCTCAGCTCAAACCTCCAGGGAGAGCCAATTCTCAATCAATTCACTAGTCCAAATATGATTTTCTTGATGCTTCCTAGGGACAAGAGCAATCCATTGGAGCCAGTGGACAATGCAGCGGCCGGGAACAACGATAGCATCATGATTGATCTCGAGGGGGCACTACTCAAATCCCTGAGCTGGTTTCAATGCTTCATGCTTGTCACAATTGAGGCTGGGAGGCCTCTATGAGTGCTCCTCCTATTTTTCATTCTACCCTTTATGTGGATCACTGGCTGCTTCGTCCATCTTGGCTCTAAATTCTCTGCTTCATGGCAGATCCTGGATTGAGGGCCTTGGCAGTGGAACTTTGAGAGCTCCCTTGTAATTGCCATTATGGACATGGAGCCTAACCAATGCACTATACATTATACAGTTTCTTTGGCTCATGCTCCAAAAACCACGTATGCTCATGATGATACAAAGTGGTTAGAAAAGTTTATAAATTATAAACATGTTTATAAATTATAAATATGAAATTAATCTAAATGAATAACCACCATTGGATGATAGAATATCCAAGAATATTCAAGCATATTCTAAGTATATTTATTACCATCTCAGTCCTCCTACAGGTTTGCTTAAGCAAACCAATAAAACTTATAAGTTTGACATTCTTTACTTAATGGAAAACCAGAATAAAAATTAATGAACTTAAATTGAAATCAATGCCTCTCCAAATTTATAAATGATTTGCCAAAGTGAATTTAGGTTTGTGATATTTTATAATTATTTAGTATATTATTATTATTTCTTTGTTTAACACTTAGTGTGCAATAATGTATACTAGATTTTTTTGTTTATTGTTAAAATAAATAAAATGAAAACTTATTAAACACAATAAAAACAATTTATTTCTACAATAATTTACTTCAATCACATAAAATCCTTAACATGGGGAGAAACATATGAATCCATTCATCTCACTCAAATGCTTTGAAATCTCTTGCATCTATTGTTTAGATCCATAATCTATAAAGAAAGTTAAAGATTATTCTCAAACCTGGCAAGGAGTGTTAAGCCAAACACTCCATCCCCCACTATCTTTCTGAAACTCACGTAGTGAGATAGCGAAGAAATTACAATGCTAAAAAGCTAACACATCTAACTAAGTAACTAGGCAAATTGTGATTCTACCTTGCATGTTCATCAATAAATTGTTTCTTTTTATATCCTTTTAATGAATTTATCATTGTTAATTATTTTTTAGATTGTTCAGGAAGAAGAAGGAAATACCAAATTTTTATGATCATTTCTTTATTACCTTGATAATATTAAAATAACAGCTATAGTGAAATAGTAATATTAAGATCAAGTTAAAATAGTGATTTTGGAGTTACTATAAACTAAGCATATATAGTAATTTCAATAATTGATTATTAACTTTATTTTTATATCATTTAATAGATTATATGAAAACTTACCAACAATATTCAATATATAAACATTCAAGTATTATGTATTTGGGATTGGATATAAAAATTAAAATCTAAACTATTTATATTAATTATATAATACCTTCATATTATATTATGTTACACCCTATCACTCTAGCTTCAGTTATCCTATTGCTCATGTATTTTGTAGTAAAAATCAAGTTTAAATAAAGATCATACATATCTTTCTCAGTAAATTTAGCAATAAATAATAGTCTTTTTTTATTAAAAAAAACTATATTTTAAATCACTAACTGTTTATAAATGTAGAACTGTATTTCATTTACTTGTACTTAATGAGATTAGATTTAATTTTTAAAAATTATATAAGAACATCATCTTACTTATGGAGGATGAGTATTCAATTTACTGAGAGCAGCTTGGACATAATGTTTTTATAATTTAAAATTATAACTTATTTTTAGGTTATTAAAGCAATGATTATGTAATTGCGCATGCTTGCATTATATATTTACACATGTGTGGATTTATTTTTTTTATTTGTATATAAAAGTACTATGTATGCAATCATATTTCAATTGCTATATAAGTAATCAAAATGTGATTATGTGCATAATATTTTTGTCAATAGGGTATGGCATGTTAGATTGCTATTGCTATGCAAAACTAATGCCACATTATCTCAAATAATATAACGTAATTATAAAGTTAATAAAGTTTTATTTTATCTCTTTTTTATGTTGTTGAGCACAACTTTGTGATCTCTTGATTGTGATCATCTCTCTCCTCCTTTCCATACACTATATTCACCTCTCATTACTTTATTTTTTGTGACTTAAAAGCATATTTCAATTATAACACACCCTAATGTAAGCACTATGCTTTGATTGCTTTTGCACTTGCAAAGCAAGTGCCTCTAATTTTTTGTAGCTTGTATGTAGTATAACACAATAATCTAGGTAACAATGAATTGATACAGAGGTGAGTGCAATCAAGTAAAGTATAAAAGAGAGCATAAAGTTATTTTTTGGGTGCTTGGGTGTTGAATATGAAGGTTTTTCAACAAGTGGGTCATATTATAATTGTGGTTTTATCAATTTTTAGCATTTGTATTTTTTTGGTATTATAATGGTTTGTTATGCATAAGTATGTTGCAAAATAATAGTGTAAACTTTTTTTTCTTGGATTTTTTCTTCTTAGCTTGATTTTTGTAGTTGTTATAGCAATTGTGTTAGTGGAGCATTATAACGTAACATTTATATATAAGTAAACGATAAATTTATGCTCATTTCTTTTTAATGCATTAATTGATTTTTTTCAATATTTGTTTTCATTCTAGATTATTTCTATGGCCAAGAAATTTAGATTTTTGCACCAATATAAATAACACACATATAATATATAGTTATACTGTAGCAATTTGCTAACTTGCTAAGCTTAAAAGTTTATATTATATTGTTGATATAACCACAAGAGTGCCCCAAACATATAGTGATGGTAACTTTAGCTTGTGAAATTCAAAAATCATTCAAAATCTAGCTCACACTGAAGAACATCACACTCCCAAACCGTAATTCAAAAGTCTAAACTCTACTAACATATTATAAAATCCAATGTAAATAAAAATTTATGCAACACAAAAAATTACATATATGCCACTAACTTAGACTTTGCCATGCAGTCCATGTGTAAGAAAAAAGTTGTGTTCAAAATAAAAATACATATGTGTTTGAATTATTGTAACATATGAGTCACACATATATGTTACAATAATTCAAACACATATGTATTTTTATTTCATATATTTTATAAGCTTCTACAAATTTTTGCCAGACCACCTGAGAAGTATACCTTCCCTAAATTTTTTGCCAGGTCACCTGGGAAGTGTTCCCCCAAAAAATACCATCACAAATTGCTTGCCATAGGTTATAAAACTTAAAATGATATAATGTATCATATAAGATTATTAAATAAATAACTATAAAAACCATAAATAAGAAACTTTAATAGTCTAATATTTTAAGCTTTGTTTTAGCAGATTTTGTAACAAGCATAAATGTATATAAACTTCCATAAACTTAAATCAAATTGATAATTTTGAAACAAACAAGACACATTTGAATCAGAAACTCCATGAGAAATACAAGGAGATTTTGATGAGAGCATTGCCTTCCCCAATAGCTACACAATGGACAATTCTAGTGGCATCAACTGGCTCAGTTCTCTTCAGCTGCTTTGAATGCTAATCGATATGTTATCACAAGTTAACTGTGTTTTAGGCTATTACCCAGTTTTACTGCCGGCAGGGGTTCTTCTTGAGCAGAAGATAAAGATCATGCTGGCGAGATTTAGATATTCCAACTTTCTGGATGATGCCTGGAGTAGAATTTACGCATGGAAAAAGAGAAAAAGAACAAATGGAATGTGCGGCATGGTTGGAGTCTTTCGCATTTCATGAAAACGACATCCCGCAAACCTTGACACACATTTTTAAGAGCGTCTCCCACTACCAAAGTGGAGAAGGGAATTTTTCCTAGACACCTCTAAACCATGCAGCACAAGAAGAGCCAAGAGAATCCACGTCTGTATAAACTCGTATTCATTCTATTCTTTTGGCGTTTTAGATCTTGTTTTCAAGTTTAGAACGACCACCTTTCCGGTGCCTCAATTCCATGATCTTTCATTGTTCTATTCTTTTTGTGCGTGTGTTGTAAAGCTGCAAGGAAAAGTCGATGCAAGGACGAAGTGATTTCTCTCTAGCTTTGTTTCTTGCTTTTGTTCTTGAAGGGACCGCTTTGCCTAGCTAGGATCTCTAATGGAACCAAGAACAAAAAGAAATGTGAGAGAAAGAGAGAAGGAAATAAAAAAGTTTAGCATATAGTAATAGACCTATGGCGAAAGCACCATCAAATCTTGCGTGATTTTAATCGACCGATAAATATTTCTACCCCCAAAACAGTGAAACACTTGTGCCTTCCAAGCCACTCGCGGAAAAAGAAACAAGCAAAAAGGGAGAAAACAGAGGAATTTCGAGAATGGAGAATGCCTTTGCAGTGATGGCGATTCTTGCGTCAGTCTTCTGGAGCACAGCGGTCTCCAAGTTCTACATCGAATCGTGCTCGGGCGAGGACAAGTGTAAATCGCTGCTGGGCTATCGAATTGTCGCCGACACGAGGATCTCAAACGTGGTGGCCATGTTTGGAGTCACCACCGATGAAATCCTGGGATCAAACAACTACGAGGTCGCGATTCCAGAGCCCGACGACGTGATCATCCAGGCGCAGGAGCTCCTCCGGATCCCAGTCTCGTGCGCTTGCTCCAATGGCATCCGGCGCACCGATTCCATCGTCTACTCTGTCCGCCAGGAAGGCGAGACGCTCTTCTCGATCTCCAATGAAGTCTTCGGAGGGATGGTCACTCCCTTGCAAATCTTCCAGGCCAACAGCAACGATCCAGCCGGGGATTTGAGCGAGAGGGGGCTGAATTCCAGCACGGAGGTTGCGATTGGGAAGAGATTGATGATCCCCTTCCCCTGCGCTTGCAACGCGGGGAATTTCAAGGGGATCCCCGCGATGTTCGTGTCTTACATGGTCCAGAGAGGGGAATCCACGTTTGAGATCGCGAGCTTGTTTGATTCCAGCGTTTCCAGCGTCGTGGAGCTCAATGGGATGCAAAAGGGATCATCCCTCGCGGCTGGAGACGTGCTCGAAGTTCCAATCCCAGGCAAGTTTTTTGAGAATTCAATGACCTCTCATCTTCCAAAAAAAACATGGAAAATCCAGCCTGTGAGTCATCCTTTGATTCGAGAGCTGTGGACTATGGATTGATGGTTCCAAACGGGACTTATACCATCACTGCCGATCGATGCGTCCAGTGTTCTTGCAACTATCCAAGGTAAAACCCATGATGAGATCTTGGATCATGGAAAGATCATCTATGTTTTTCCAGGCTAGATTGCACTCCTGCTCCATCCAGCTCCGGATGTCCATGCCCAGCTCCTCGCTGTGCCGGGAGCAATCTCAAAATTGGTGAATTCACCACCAAAGCTTCGCTCCAAGGCTGTCAAGTTACGTCTTGCTCGTACAATGGTTTCCACGACTCGGTCATCTTCGTTGGGTATATAAACCGTTCCTCTTTAAACATAGATCTATAAACCTTGTAACTCTTCCATTTGCTCTTTCTTTCTCAGCTTGGAAAGCACGAATCAATCAACATGTCCTGGTAAGTTTCATGGTTTCGAGATCGTTGATAATCCTTTTTTTTTCTCTGGCAGTTTCATCACCACCTCCAACATACAGGCAGTACATGCCCGCCTTGACACCTGATTCATCGCCCATCATAGAACCGCAGAACATTATTTCGAACCAAGTCACGCCGATCAATGCTGGAACAGCTCAACAATCCTCTTCTTCGTTTTCCTCGTTTCATCACATCGAGAAGCTTTTGCTAGTACTCACATCTCTCACACTACTACTACTCTAGATCCAGGTGCATATACATAGTCTCCTTTAAGAAAAGAAGCTTCTTTGTGTATATGTATATACTCAAAAGCTTCTTCTTTGGTAGAAAAGAAAGAAGAGCCTTTTTTTTCTATAGTTTTGAATCTACTTTTGTATCTCACATTCGAGGACGTAGCTCTAGCAATAATGCAGGGTCATGGGACCTTGTGGTTGATTACAAATCCAACAAAAGGCGAGAACAACGCACTTGTTTGATCATAGTTTGCCGAGAAAGGCAAGCTTTTCCGTGGTGTTCTTTTGCCAACTTTGCAGCTTTCAAGGCACGAAACAAGTTTTAGTCAAGACGCAAAGATTAGATCGGCCAATCCCACGAACGCTGCCGAGTTACTTGGATCGACCCCTTGCAAGAGCTGCGTGGCTGCTTGCCTTCCACAACTTGTATCAAAGTGGAGCCTCGACGCACCAAGGAGAGTTCCCAGCTCCGCGGCATTTGGAACGAACGAGAAACTCTCCACCATTTGCTGTGCTTGGTTGATCTTCCCGGCCCGGCCAAGTATGTCAATCACACAACAAAGCTGCTCTCTCGACGGCTCTATTTCAAAGTCATCTCGCATCGACACAAACAGGTTCCAGCCTTCCTGGAGGAGTCCAATGTGGCTACACGCCGAGAGAACTGTTCTAACACAGCCCTTCTCGGGCTCCACTCCTTCCAAAACCATGAGCTTGAAGAGCTTGATAGAATCTTGGATATGGCCAAACTGTGCAAACGCAGCTATTATAGAGCTCCAGGCAATTTGGTCTCTCTCCTCCGGCATTGTGTAGAACAAGCTGGCTACCTCGCGCAGATGCCCGTTTTGGGCATATGACGAGAGCATAGAGCTCCATGCAACCACGTCCTTTTGAGGCATGCCAACAAAGACTAACTTAGCTTCTTCAAGGAGATCCTTTCTAACGTATGCTAGCATTAGAGCATTCCATGACAGAATGTTATGCTCTCTTGTTTTGACAAACACGTCCACTGCTTCTTCCAAATAGCCATGCCGGGCATAGAGATCCAGCATTGCGGTGGATGAAACTACGTTGTGCTCGGGCATCATATCAAACAAAGTCTTTGCTCGATCAAGGCTGTGGTGTGATCCTGTCATCAGGCTCGTGTATGAAGTCACGTCTCTCACCGGCATTTCTTCAAACAATCTCTCTGCCTCGTCGATATGCCCATTTCGGGCATAGGCTTGAAGAGCTGCGTTCCAAGTCACGAGGTCTCTCTCCGCCATCTCTTCAAATATCTCTTTTGCTTCTAACACTTTTCCAGCTTGACCATAGGCCGAAACCATCGTATTCCAAGTCACCACAGTTCTCACACTCATCCTGTCAAACAAATCTCTAGCTTTTTCTACGTATCCATTGATTGTGTATGACGAGAGCATCGCATTCCACGAGAAAACGTTTGAATCTGGCAAAGCACGAAAGATTCTTTCAGATTCGTCAATATGCCCAGACCGGGCATATGCAAGCATCATCGCGATTCCAGCTACAGAGTTTAGCTTCGGCATCCTTTTCAGAATATCGCTTCCTTCCATCAGAAACCCTTCCTGAGCGTAAGCCGCCACCATTGCATTCCATGAAACTTCGGTGGGTTTTGATATTCTGTCAAAAACCCTCTTCGCTTTGTAGACATGCCCAGCTTGGGCATATGCTGTGATCATGATGTTAAACGATGCAACGTTTGGATTTGGGATTTTCTCAAAAACACTCTCTGCTTGATCCAAATTCCCATTCCTTGCGCAATCCATTATGATTTTGTTCCACGAAACCACGCTGGGTTTTGAGACCTTTCGAGAGCTCTCCATCGTTTCACCCAATTGCCCGCCTTGGCAAAGTGAGCTCTCCGATTCCTTCCCGGGAAATTCCAAAATGCTCCCATTCCACTGCGTGGGCGATCCATCCGGTGCAAGGAAATCGCTGGGCTTGCGATAAATCCCACCAGACGAAAGAGCTCTCTCCACCATCGCGGTCGTGGATCATCTTATCTTCTCCGGATTTCCCCTAAAAACAGAGCATGCCATGGCGACTCTGTTCCACTCCCACATTCCCACTCCAAGATCGCGAATTCTCAGGCGCAGGAGGCGCATTCTCTGTGAACTGGAAGAGCAGCAGCAGCAGCAATCCCCAAAGAAGCAAGATCCAGGCACCAAAATCCAGCTCGATTCCTCCACAGACTGGATCGCTTCGTCGCTGACAAGAAGATTTGGACTGGGGGCAGGCCTGGGATACGTGGGCTTCCTCGCATTCGGTGTAATCTCCGAGCAGATCAAAACGAGAACCGAGGTCGCCCTCGAGGAGCAAGGCTCCAGGTCAGAAATCCTCGCTTAGATTCGTCCTTTCGCTTAGATCTTGCGAGGTTCTTGCAGGGAAATCCAAGATGGAAAGGAGACCGTGCTTCCGAATGGAGTGAGGTTCACAGACCTGGTAATCGGAGGAGGGGCTTCTCCCAAGCGCGGGGATTTGGTGGTCGTGGATCTTGTGGGGAGAGTGACAAGCACTGGAGAGAAATTCGTTGACACGATCGGGAACAAGAGGCCACTGGTGTTCGTGTATGGCGCGAAGCCATACTCTGGTGGGATGTGCGATGGATTGGAGTTTGCGCTGGCATCGATGAACGCCGGTGGCGAGAGGAGGGTGATCGTGCCTCCTGCGCTAGGGTTTGGCGAACGAGGGGAAGATTTTGGAGCTCAAGGAAGAGTGGATCCAGACCAAGAGCTTGAATTCGTTGTCCAGCTTAGAAAGGTATCGATCTCACCCACATAGATCCTCGCAGGAACTCTAGAGAATGGATGTTTCCATTCAACCGGAAGGGCATCTTGCTTTCTACTGGAAGGCTCATTCGCAGCGTGAATTTGCAAGCGAGCAACACATCCCTGGAGCAATCCATTCTTTCCCTGATCGCCCAAGAGCAGCAGCAAGCTCCTGATCCAGCAGAGTGCGCGCGATTGATCATCGCCTGCAAGAACGCCAAAGCCCACGAGCAAGGAAAATTCATCCATGGCTTCCTCGCACGGCACGGCCTCCTCCATCGCAATCCTATCCTCGCGGAGCTCCTGCTCGAGATGTACATTCGCTGTGGCAGCCTGGATGACGCCACCCAGACCTTCGATTCCATGCCGGAGAGAGATCTCAAGTCCTGGTCCAGGATGATCACCGCAAATGCCCAGAGTGGGAACTACACGCAGGCATTTGCGCTCTTCCAGAAACTCCACGTCCACGGTGTTCTTCCCAACCAGATCGCGCTGGTTGCCACCCTCAACTCCTGCCTCGCCGACCACCAGGTGAGATCCGTTCACGAGTGCGCTCGAGAGATCCACTGCGAGCACGAGAAGATCGTCGCGACTGCGCTGCTCAACGCCTATGGCAAATGCGGCGACCTGAAGAGCGCTGGAGCGATCTTCCGCGGGATGGAGGAGCGAGACTTGATCTCCTGGACCGCGCTGATCACCGGATACGCCCAGTTTGGCCACTCCCGCCAAGCTCTGGACCTCTACCGGGAGATGCTCATGGACGGAGTCTCGCCGAGCAGGATCACTTTCCTCTCGCTCTTGAGCGCTTGCACGAAGCTGGGAAGCTTGCGAGAGGCCAGCCTCGTCCACGATCACATCCGGCAGAGTGGCAACCAGCAGGGGCTCTCGATCCAGAACGGGGTCGTGTGTATGTATCACCGCTGCGGCAGTGTCGAGAATGCCAAGCTGGTGTTCGATGCGATGCCTCGGCGAGACGTGATCTCGTGGACGTCGATGATCGCGGCCTATGCCCAGAGTGGTAGCTGTGACGATGCGATCAGGCTGTACAGGAGAATGGAGCTGGAAGGCGAGAAGCCAAACAAGGTGACGTTCCTCGCGGCTATGGAAGCTTGTGCGAAGTCTTTGGCTCCGGAAGAAGAAGCCGACGCTCTTCACAGGTGCGTGATCGAGAGCGGGCTGGAAACCGACGTTGTGGTGGCCACTGCACTCGTCAACATGTATGGAAAGTCTGCCAGAACGCTCGGAAGAGCTCAAGAGATCTTCGATGGAGTAGAGAAGCGGGACAACGTCGTGTGGAACGCACTGATTGCGGCCTACGCGCAGCACGGCTGCCGCGACCGCGCGCTGGATCTCCTGGAGCAAATGCAGCGCCAGAGTTTCTTTCCGGACAAGCCGGCCTTTGTGTCCGTCCTGAGCGCGCTCACTGGCTCGTCCTCGCTCGCGCTGGGACGTTCCATCCACGCCGCCATCGCCGACAAAGGCTTCGAGTCGGACAGCATCGTCCGGAACGCGCTGATGAACATGTATGGCAAGTGTGGCTGCGCCGAGGACGCGCTCCGGCTGTTCGAGGCCTCGCCGAGGCTCCAAAACGTGATCTCCTGGAACACCGTAATAGCCGTGCACGCGCAGAACGGCGAGCACCAGCGATCCATGGTTCTCTTCCATCGAATGCAGCTCGCAGGAGTTTCAGCCGATCGAGCCACCTTGCTCACAGTTCTCTACGCATGCACGAATCCAGCAGCTCTTAGAACCGGGAGGCTTGTCCGCGAGGTCGCCACCCAGCGCGGCTACCACCACGAAGTCAAGTTCCAGACCGCGCTCGTTCTCATGCACGCCAAGTGCGAAACTCTCGACGCCGCGGTGGAGGTGTTCGAGAGCATGCACCACCGAGACACCCCCTCCTGGAACGCCATGGTCGCAGCGTATGGCTACCACGGTAACTGCGACCTCGCGCGGAGAACCTTCGACGACACCCCTGACAAGAACCTCGCGTCCTGGAACTCGATCATCGCAGCGTGTTCTCTCAACGGCCGCTGGAAAGAAAGCTTCAAGCTCTTGCAGCAAATGCAAGTTGATGGCGCCGTCCCGGACACTGTCACGCTAGTCACAGTTCTCAGCTCCTGCGCTGCTGGAAGCGCCATCGCCAAAGGACGAGCCGTGCATAGATTCGCGGCCGAGAACGGGCTCATGTCCGACGTTGCGGTGGCGAACGGCGTCGTGGACTTTTACGGGAAGTGTGGATGCCTGCTCGAAGCTCGCGCGGTGCTGGACGAGATGGCCAAGCTCGACGAGGTGACATGGAACTCGCTGCTTGCCGGATATGCCCAGCACGGATATGGCGTGGAAACGCTCGAGGCCTTCACCGAGATGCAGCACCGGGGCTACTCCGCCAACCGAATCACGTTCATGAGCGTCTTGCATGCATGCAGTCACGTCGGGCTCGTGGCCGAGGGCTGCAAGTATTTCAGCAGCATGATCGGCGACTATGGCTTCCAGCCGATTGAGGAGCACTGCGGCTGCATGATTGATCTGCTGGGACGAGCTGGGCACTTGAGTGAAGCCAAGACGCTGCTTGCGAGAATGCCGTTTAAGCCCAACCTGATTGCCTGGATGTCCCTGCTTGGCTCTTGCAAGGTTCATGGGAATCTAGAGCTGGGAAGGGACGCAGCGCTCAAAGTTTTGGAGTTCGACCCCGAGAATGCTGCGGCTCATATGCTTCTGTCCGAAATCGTCACCTAGATAGCTCGGTTCCTCTGGAATTCAGTGGGAGGAGCTCTACAGGCAAGCGTATCAATGAAAGATGATCCTGGCTGGCGGATGTTCCTCAGTTGGAGCATGGCTAAACAGCTCAAGTTTTTGAGATTCCTACAAATGCCAAGAACAAGAATTCTATGATCAGCAAATGCCCAGAAGGAGGACTTTTCACAAGAACAGGTTTTTGAGATCCCACCGCAAATGCCCAGAAGGAGAACAGTTTGGGAATCTTGCAGAAAAAACCGGTAAAGTTTTTGAGTGTACTTTGTGACTGCTGGGATTCGAGCCCAGGTCTCCACGGCCACAACGTGGAATTCTCACCACTAAACTACAGCCACATTCAGTCACTAAGACATATATTTAACTTGATAATCTTAATTTATTATTTATAAGAAAAAACTCACACTTATTTCATAATAATTAACTAAGTAATTTTATCAAAAAGATTCTCATAAGTGACATAACCCCATTTTTAGGGTTCCAAGAACAGAGGAAGAAGGGAATGCTGGGGAAGAGATGGGTGATGCTGGTAGCTGGGCTGTGGATCCAATTCACCGCTGGTTCCCCCTACGTCTTCGGCCTCTACTCCGAATCCCTCAAGCGCGCGCTCGGCTACACGCAAACCCAGCTCGACACCATCGCCTTCTTCAAGGGAATCGGCGCCAACGTTGGCATCCATGCCGGATTGCTCTACCTGCTTGTCCCGCCCTGGGCGATCCTGGCAATTGGATCGCTCCTCAACCTCGTCGGCTATCTGTCCATCTGGCTCGCCGCCGCTGGAAAGCTCGGGCGCGTGGATTTCTGGCAAGTCTGCGTGTTCATGCTCCTCGCCGCCAATGCGCAAACCTTTCTCAACACCGCGGTGGTGGTCACCTCGGTGGCGAATTTCCCGAGCAGCCGAGGCACAGTGGTCGGCCTCATGAAGGTAAAGATCGTTTCTTCCAAGAACTTTTGGAAACTTGACGAGATCTTTGTTTCCTCCAGGGTGGCCTGGGATTGAGTGGCGCGGTTCTTACGCTGATCTTTAGAACACTCCGTACAAGAGATCAAGTCTCGTACACTCTCTTCGCGGCTCTAGTCCCATCTCTGGCCTCTCTCTTGCTCATGTTTCTCATCCGGCCACTGCCAGTAGCAATCGATCGATTCGAAACGACCAACTTACACAAGATCTCCGGGATCATCGTGGCTATCGCGTTTCTCCTCGTCCCAATCTCGATAGCTTCTCCAAACCAAGCGCTAGCGATGGACTTCTCAGCTCTCCTCATTCTCCTCCTCCTCGCATCGCCCCTCCTCGTTGCATTGCGAGCCGAGCTCACGGCCGAGGAAGACCACTCCACCCAAGAGCAAGCCAGGCTCTTGGAACCCGAGGATCCGCCAAGATCATCCCGCAAGCCTGACTTGCAACTCGGCCAGGAATTCACGCTCGCCCAGGCGCTATCATCGCTGGAGTTTTGGCTGCTCTTCGTCGCGGCGTTCTGTGGCATGGGAACCGGGCTCACCACCATCGACAACGTCAACCAGCTCGGCCTCTCGCTTGGCCACTCCAAGCGCGACATCTCGATCGTTGTCTCGCTCATGAGCGTCTGGAACTTCCTGGGCCGGTTTCTAGCTGGACTGATCTCGGACAAGTTCCTCCACTCGCAGGGCTTCCCACGGCCGGCTTTCATCGCCATCGCTCTGGGAGCACAGTCTCTGGGCCATCTCGTCGTCGCCATGGCTCTTCCGGGAGCTCTCTACGTTGGAACTCTGGCGATTCTTCTCGGCTATGGCGCGCACTGGTCTCTCATGCCCGCCACCGTCTCGGAGATCTTCGGGCTGGGACGATTTGGAGCGCTCTTCAACACGCTCACGGTGGCCAGCCCGCTGGGATCTTACGTCTTCTCGGTCCAAGTTGCGGGTTCTTTCTACGATAGGGAGGCCCGAGAGCAAGGATCTTCCAGCTGCTATGGTTCTCACTGCTTCATGGCCACCTTTCTCATTCTCGCTGGAGTTTGCGTCTTTGGGTGCCTGACCACGCTGGTGATGGTCGCGACGACGAGAGAGTTTTATAAAACCCAAGCCTTCGAGAACTCGAGAGAAAGAATATAGCTATATAAAAAGCATCATCGATCGATCAAGAGTCAGTTTTTGGACGAAAACTTAGCTCGACAATCGCGCTCCCACATCTAAAAGCTATGAAAAAATAGAGATACCTGAGAGGTTCCCGAGCAAATCAATCGTGACAGTTAATAACAGCAAACCGGAAAAATAACTTACACAAGAGAGGGACTCGCCTCCTCCCTTCTCACTCCTCCATCGTCTCATCTGTTCGTCGTCGTTTGAGGATTACTCGCAGCTCCATTCGCTCGCCCTTCTTCATCTCTACCGCCAACGCCGGCAGCCAGAGCCATAATATCCGGAGTGATCTCCCAGCTTCCACTCTTCCGTCCCCAGCTAGATCTTCTCGGGTGTAGTGCGCTGCTGCCGGCCACTGCTGGAGCAGGAGCAGGAGGAGCTCGCGAGAATGTCCCGTTCTTGATATCCAGACCGATGTCACCACCATTGCTCACTCTTCCCGGATCATCGGACGAAACTTCGCCGCCGCTGTTGCTGGTTGGAAGAGCTACTCGCTCTGGCCATGCCGGCTTCACCCCTCCTTCCAAATCCGAGCCAGCAGACTTTAGAGACGTCGCCGTGGGAGTAACCGCCATTTGCTGTCTCGCTCCTTGTCCCTGTCCTGAGCTTTCCGTCGTTACTTTACCCCGAAAGTGGTTCTTGGAGGGAGCAATCTTGGAAAAGAAGATCTCGCGGAAGTTGTCTACCACGCCTAGATTGTAAGGATTGACTTTATTGTCGTAGCGGTAGCGGAAGTTCTCGTAAGTCGTCTGCACGAGTCACAGCGCACAACCCGAGATCAAAGTACTGTACGAAGAAAACCTTTAAAGATCTTTTTCTTCTCTCTTTCATACCTGGTTTGTACCGATGAGGTAAAGGTGGAAGAGCGTGAGGCCCCCCACAAACCACACGGCGACGAACGTGTAAGCCATGAGAGCAATGGACGCGGGCGACTTTCTCATGGCTTTCCACGCCGAGCTCTGGTGGTCGTCCATGACAAACTTGATCTCCAGCGCACACATCGCAAAAACATACACACACATCAGCGTGGCCGACGAGACGAACATGAAGAAGAATCTGTAGTTCCTCTGCGAAGAAAAAAAAAAAAAGAGGAACAAGTTAGCAAAGAACAAAAGAAGAGAAGAAGCTTACTTGTCCAATGCACTGGCCAACCCAGGGGCAGTGGTGATCAAAGCGCTCCACGCAATTGTTGCAGATGGAACAGTGAGAACACCGGGGAGGCCGATAGAGCATGCACGTATCACAATACTTTATTTTCACCGCAACCCCGTTAACTATGACATCTTTCGTCCTAGCGGGTCGACGGGGCGTCCAATCCTCCGCGTCTTCCTCTGGCTCTGGAGGGTGAGCGTTCCTGGGGATAATCCCCGGATCCCTTCCAGAGGTCAGGAGAAGCAACACCAAAATCTACAGCGGAACCACCACCAAACGTAAGTTCATCCAAGAAGGCCAAAAGAAGCCATCCATAGGGAGAAGAAAAAAAAACCAAAGAACTCACATAGGCTGTGTAGACGACCATCACGACCATGATTGCGATCCCACCATTGTTGCTAAATCTATCGAGCAGGTCCCTGGCGACGAAGACGCAAAAGATCACCGCGGGGCCGATGAGGAGAAACAGCGTGACGAGCAGCGATCTCACATCTGGTCCAAAAATTAGGCGCCCGTGGAACAAGAATTTCTGGCAGCAAGCCAAGCCAAGAAAGAGAGCCCATCAGTACCTCAGATCGATCGAAGAGAAGGGAAAGAACGCGAAATTACTACATTGCTGCCTTGCCAGCTCTGATAAACGCGCTCCTCCATCACTGATCCCCCCAGATCCTTCTCATTCTTCGCAAAAGAGACCTAAATCCTGCGAGAATTCCAGCACAAACCCCGATCGCGCGAATTCGCCGAATTGCCGTGGAGAGATCCCGAGCCGGGAGGAGAGCTACCTAGTCTAGCAGCAGCATCAGCAGCAGCAGCCGCGAGAGGCATCGTCGGTGGTGGCGTCGTCATCCATGGCAGCGCTGCGCAATGGTCAAAACCCTAGAGGAAGAACGCTTGGCCATTTCCATGCCATTGCCACTACCTAGTGAGAAGCTGCCCATTTAGCTTGTGTGGTTTTTCTTTGAATGCGCCGCGTGCGGCGGCCCCCTTGCCGCATGCGGCAAAGCAGCGACGTCGTGGGCCACGTCCGCCGCAAAGGTTTCCAACCCGCCCACGATTCGAACGCCCCACCGGTTTTAACTTCACCCCAGATTTTTCCACTCGATTGATCGCAACGTCTTCACACCAAAGAAGAACGCAAAGATCTTCCTTCTTTGCGATCGATCGAGCAAGCATAGAGCAAGTGAGAATGGGTTGATCGAAACAATCTATATCTATTTGCATCAATCGAGCGAGCAAATTTGCAACACGAAGAGCAAGATTTACAGAACCAAGGTGACCGTTTTGCCTGTGATATTTTCGATCATCTCTTCTCAGCTGGAGCTCTCCAATCTTCTCGAGAATCTACACACAGCACAGTGAGATCGATCGAAGAGAAAGAATTTAAAAAAATGGATGGCGATCGAATCGAAATTTGGACTCACTCTTCGAAGCACCACATCGCGACTTGGGTGCTCTTGTAGCACACATACCACATCGCGATCAATACGACCAATCCTTAGAATCAGTCAAAGGAAAGAACAAAGAGAGGGATTTTTTTTTTCGCGAGAACGAGACGATCGAAAGGATACTGACAAGGAGCCTCTCCCACCAATCCATCATGTAAGGCGCCATTGTAACGTCGAAAAGGAACAGCATTCGCTTGATCCATGCTCGAAAACCAAGATTTCGCTTGGGTCGATTGCGCTGCTGAGAGAAATTGATCCATTGATTCAATGGACTGGGAGAGAGAACCACAGCATTGCAAGGTGGAGACCATACCACTCCAGAGTAGCGATCTTCGTAGTGCTCCACGCCGCCATTTGCTGTAGCACGCGCTTCTCGTCGCCCTCCCGACATGCTCTCCGTATCAACCCTAACAGAATATCCTTTCCCAGCTAAAAGGTATATCCTTTGACTTGTATATTCGTACAAGATTCCCCCTTCGTTTTCTATTGACTTGGTTCCGTGTGTTTCATTCGCCAGCACTTTCCCAACGTCTGCATGAGCTCGTCGGCCTGAATCGGTTTGGATATATACCTGCGATCAAATCAAAAGTATAGGAAGAGAATCACAAGGTAAGAAACGATGGCTGGGAAGATTGGGAGTTAGTTTAGCCATCGCAAAAACCAAGAAAGAATCGCACACGATTGGAAAACATTGGAGAACCACCAGCAAGAACTCACAAACTCTAGATCCAAAGTAACTCCAGGGAAACAATGGAAGAACACACACACGCGCGCGCGCACGAAAAACAAGAAAGAATCACGCGATTGGAAAAGAATGGAGACCCACCAGCAAGAACAAGCATAAGAAACTCTAGATCCAAAGTGACTCCAGGGATAAAATGGAAGAACACGCTCTCTCTCTCTCTCTCTCTCTCTCTCTCTCTCTCACACACACACACACACACACACAAAGCGAAAACTTGGGAGGAGAGAACTTACATATGCATGCCCGCTTGTAAGCACGCTTGCATCTCCTCCTTCAACGCCGCGGCAGTCACCGCAACGATGACAGGAGTCGGTCTTATGTTCTCCCGGATTCTCCTCGATGCTTCCAGCCCGTCCATCTCCGGCATGAAGCAATCCATGAGAATAACGTCGTAGCTGTGGACAGACCACCTCAGCTCAAGCTGGATTTGGCAGCAAAAACTTACACTTACACTTGACGCATCACGGAGTCCAGTGCCTCCCGTCCGTTTCCAACCACATCGGCTGTGTAGCCCAGTCTTAACAGCAGCTTGAGAATAACCTGTGGAGAAAAATGTGTTTTCCTACCAAAAGACTCGAGAAAGAGAATGCAAACCTTTTGATTGACGATGTTGTCCTCGGCCACAAGGATGCGAAGTGGATACAGCTTTCCCAAGTCCGAGACATTGTTTACGGGACTTAGCGACGAGGATTCCTTTTTCGGCTTTCTAGCCGAGGCAGCGGCGGGTAATTGATAGTATTCCTCTTTCTCTGCTTCACGCGGCTCCAGCACCAGGCTCATCAAGGCGTTGAGAAGATGGGATTCCTTGATCGGCTTTGAGACGTAAGCATCGAATTGCACAGGTTGTTTACCCTGGAAGCACAAGAATGAATTGGACAATGCATGTTGGAAAACGAGAAAATGTTACGCTATAGTAGTCACGCGTCCTTCGTCCGAAAGGTGTCAAAAGCAACGTCGGTACTGTCTGCAGCGTTGCATGACATACTCCCAAACACTCCATAACTTGAGGATCCTCTGCATCAAGCTGCAAAGTTGTAAGCCATAAGTGTGCGAAGCACGAATGCAGGAAATTTAGAGTTCACCAGCGAGCAGTCGAAAATCACAACGTCAAACGCACGCGGTGATCTCTCGGTGAAGCGGGCCAGCCGGCCCGAGGAAATGCTACCAGAGTCGACCATTTGCGTTAGAAGCATGAGGGCCTCATCGCTGGTGTTTGCACAAACAGGTCTCATATGCCAACTGCAAAGAAAGAAAGAGCAATTAACCAACATTCTGAAGAGAACTAAACAGTCCTATACCTCTTGAGCAGACGAGAGCACATTGTCTGTGTGCTGCTGCTGCTCCCAGCGACAATCAACACTCGCTTGTTCTTCAGTCCTCGAAGATCTCCATGGTCACTAGCCGGTTGGCTATATCTCGGCATATCTTCTGCTAGAATTGTGAAGTGAAATGTTGAGCCTTCTTCGCGGTCGTTTGCTTCCCTGCACCGTCCTGTTAGTTGCTTTCCCAACGCCATGTAATATTTACCAAATGCGACCACCGTGGAGACCGCATAGGCGCGCACAAATTGCAAGCCCGAGCCCAGTGCCACCATATCTTCGAGTAGTTGAAGTGTCTCCTTGTGTGAAAGCCTGCTCGCGCACACACACACATCAGTCCAATAGTCATATAAGAACGTTATACCTTCTTTAGTTCTTTAAATCGGTAGATGAAGAAACTTTACTTGGAAGAGCGAGCACTTTCGGTCATCGGGGATTCCTATACCGGAATCGGCCACAGAAAACTCAACTTCCCAGAGGCTCCGGTTGAACTTCTTAAACGGCAGTCTCCCAGGATCTTCTAATTGGCGTCCAGTCACGTTCACTGATATGTATCCTTTCTCGGTAAATTTGACGGCGTTGCTAAGAAGATTTACCTGTAGAATTAGAGTCAGATGCGAGTAAACCGCCGGCTACGAGAGTCAACTGACCAAGATTTGGCGGATTCGAGCCGAGTCCCCGAGCAAAACGCTAGGAACAGAATCCGATACGTTATAAGTCAGCTCGAGACCCTTCACGGCTGCTTGAGGAGCGACAAGATCAAATGATTCTTCAACACATTGCAGGATCTCTGTAGGTTGCAACTCAAGCTCCATCTTACCCGCTTCAATTTTACTGTCACAACCAAGCTCAGCATGACGTGAACTTGGATCGGCTTCTTACCTGTAATCAAGGATATCATTGATAATCCCCAGCAGTGCCTCTCCACTGCTCCGAATCGTAGAGGCATACTCGCGTTGCTCATCCGTTAAGTCCGTTTCAAGGATCAGAGCTCCCATGCCAATCACGGCATTCATAGGAGTACGAATTTCATGTGACATATGAGCCTGTAGACAAGTACCAGATATAAGTTGTGATGAAATACTTTAGTACCAGGAACTTTCTATTCGCTTGAGCAGCTCTTTCAGCGCTGTCTCGTGCTTCCTTAAGTGCCGCAACCACCTGATGCTGTTCAGTTATGTCCCATGCAATTCCAGACCATTCGGTTGATCCACTTATAGAATCAAACCTTGGAACTGCATGAACTCTAACCCATCTAGTGTTTCGGTCCATCAGCACACTGTGTAAAATCACTGGACTTAGAGTTGCTCGATCCAAAGTAAGTAGCATACCGGTAGTCATGGTCTAAAGGGGCTTGGGTGCTGACTGCCAATTTCATTTCGGCTTCTAACCTTGGCCAATCATCCGGATGCACGTTCAAACCTGTGAAGAAAAAGGTCAAAGGTAGCTAAAGAAACAGAACAGAGCTTACCGAACACTCTATTCAGATTTCCTCCATGATCACATGTTTCTGAAAAAGAAAGTGAAAGCAGAAGTTACAACTGCAAACTTAAGTCACAGATGCACCTTTCATTTCACAATTAAATAGATTCTTTGCGCCTTTGCTCATGTAAGGAAAACACTCAGTCCCTTCTTTGGCAACTTGGCAAAGAAAAACGCCACCTAAATTAAACAAACAGTTTTTTATATGGTCCAAATCTTTCAAGCACACAGTACCTGGAATGACGTCCGTGAGTCTGCATAAAAAAAAAAGAGCGTGTTGTCATATGTACCATAAATATTCTCAGAAATACCTCTGCAGTTCCTGCTGTGATCTTTGAAGCTCCACCTGAGCTAGCTTGTCCGCAGTTATATCACGACAAGCTGCAAACATATCATTTGCCGTCCAATTAAGCCACTTGTAAGTCCCAGTCCCATCTATGTACAAAGGAGAGGCTACCTGAGAGTTACAAATGTGTTACAACAAAACAGAGAGTCCAATAGAATTCATACCATGCCATCCCTGCAACGATAGCGATTAACCAGATTGACGACTGCTTTCCCATCTTTAAGCTTTGAGAACGCATCGCTTGCAGTCGCCTTATCTTCCTCGTGCAGCCATTCAATCCAAGGAACAGCTTTAAATTCCTCCATGGTGTATCTGTAAAAGTGTTGAATTGGATATGCCCAAAAAGAAACGAAACATACCCGAGGAAAGATGGTAAACTCGTACTAACATTGTCAAAGAACTGACCGTCACCACTCCATGTCACCAAGAACTCGTGTGGCAGTGTCCAGTACTTCCAGTAGTTATTCTCAATAGTCTTCCGCTCGTGTATATCAATCCTCCAGCCAACGAAACCGAGAAACTCCGCAGTAGTCAAAGAGGAAGAGAACCTTGGCTTGCCAATATCCAGAACCCATCTAAAATGGTCTTGGCCTACCTGAACCAAAAGAAGTAAGCAAAGATACTAGAGCTAGTTTCCCAAGTACCTGTAGGCGATATTCCATCTGGAATGGCACCTTCAAGCCTACAGCCCGAGCGATAACCTCCTTGGAGCGAAGTAAATCGTCTGGATGAACACGCTGGGACCAGTCCTCACCATAAACAGTGTCCAGATCAATCTCAATGAGATTCAGCCACTTCATGCTGCTGCATGAAAGGTCCATGGAGACCACATCTTTGCCACACATCCACGCAGCGGCAGGAATAGTTCCATCGTCCGGCAGATCTTGTAGCCTTTCATACTCGAGCGAAGAAAGACTTGGAGTCCCGCAATCTGAGAGTGTAGTGTTTGATGTCGGGATTGATAGCGGCCTTGGCTTCCCAGAGGAAGTGCTTTGGTTGTAACATCTACTATCCTCCATAGCGTCCAGTTCCAATTCCCTCCTCCTTCGTAGCGTACCCACGGGACTGTTTTCCAGGCTTGAGATCGAGCTCGCCGGAGTGGACTTCTTCGATCCAACCAGCAACGGAGACAGGTTCTCCTTTTTGAAAGATCCGGACCCAGAGTTGGAGCTAGAGTTTGTCGATTGAGGAGATGGCTGCGGCGAATCATCGCTCTTGTGCTCCTTCACCACCTCTACACTTTTCTGGTTCAAAGTCACCGCTCTCTTGCCTTCCTCAATGCTAATCGTCCTAATCAAGCAGCTATGCTTCGTTCTAACCTGTGAAGCTACGTGATGTCTAAAGCTCCCTCCTGTCGCCCAAAGAATCCCTGAAAGCTGCGAAAGGATCGCTCTAGGCTCTCCATTTCGCAAAACCCGCTCTAGCTTGCCGATCAGAGCCGTGACATCAAACCGCCCCACCAAAAACCCCACCAGCGCAGCTGTGGCGACCAGCGACGGCACGATCCAAGCTGGCCGCTCAGCATCCGAAAATCCCCGGCAGACTTGCAAGCAAGAGCGCAGGCATTCCTCCGGGAACTTCATCCTTCATAGAGAGTCTCCGAAATATCGTAGCTGCGACCTCTTCCGATCCCCCGAATCAAACCGCGCGGCAGGATCGAGCTCCAGAAATCCGTGGCGCGTACCTGGGAATGCTGCCGATCGATTGGGCGCCGCGGCATTGCTCTCCCTCCTCTCGAGAGATCTTACCCTAGGAAAACAACGAAGGCCAAGGGACAATCTACCGTTACTACGTCATGTTCGTACACTCTTCTAGTCCGTACATAAACTTTTTTCGAAAATTAAGGTCAAAGTGGTTGAACAAGGTCAACGTTTTGTTGACCGGCCATATAAGCTCTTTCTAGATGTAAGCTACGTTGCCAATCTTTAAGAGCCTCTCGTGAGGGACTTCGAGGATGAGGCGGCTCTCGCGGAAGTTCTTGCGGAGGATCGCGTAGAGCGTGTTGATGAAGAACTTGGTCATGACGCTGGAATCCATGCGCGCCACCACCTCGGTGTGGCCCAGCACGTAGACAACGCCGGCTTTCCTCGAGTTCCTCAAGAACTCGATCTCTTCCTCGTCCTCCTCTTGCGGCGACGAGATTATCTCCTGCTCCACCGCGGATCCACCACCGTTTAGATCTCCACCCACGATTGGGAAAACTTCGATCCTTGTGGTGCCATCACTCTGAGGATCATCGCTGCTCAAGTTCGTCGTCTCCTCGACTTCTTCTTGGTGATTTGCTTCTACTGCTGCTGGTGTCGATGATGGTGCTTCATCCAGCCGGATGAATCGTTCCAGGCTCTGGAACAGTGAGTTCTCAAACTCGTTGTCCCCCCTGTGATGATCCCGGTAGCCATACCTCGCAATGCACCTGTAAATTCGGAGCTCCTTGCTTCCAACTCGCTTGAAGAGGAAGCGCTCCTCTGGAACGACGCTGCTCACTGGGAGAGTCTTGATCGTCACGAACACGAGCACCGAGTGGATCGCTGGAACGTTGCTCACGTAGTGCGAGAGCATGGCCGGGACTCCCTGTGAGAGGCGGGTGTAGATCAATCCCACTCCACGAACTCGCAGAATGCTGTTGTTTGTCACGAGACCCGTGATCCACTCCACCGACATCTTGTTCTCGAGCTCGTACTTGTTCCTCCTGGAGCTCCCGAAGAACCATGTGAACATGATGCTCATGAAGATCGCCGCGAACAGCATCGGAAGCCAGCCACCTTCCGTGAACTTGACGAGCACCGACGAAAAGTATGTGAGCTCCAGCGTCGCGTAGATCGCAAAGTAGGCCAGGATGAGCAGGATGTTCGTCTTCCACACCAGGAGCATTATGATCGCGGTCAAGAACGTCGTCACCGACATCACCGAGACGACGCAGATGCCGTAGGCGTTCCCGATGGTGGTCGTATTCTTGAAGATGATGGTGATCACGACGCAGGCCAGCATGAGGAACCAGTTCATCTCAGGGATGTAGACTTGCCCGGGGAAACGCTTCGAGGTGTGGACAACCTTGACCCGCGGGAAGCAGCTCATCGCCTGCGACTGCTTGATGATCTGAAAAACCGCCGAGATCATGGCCTGGCTCGCGATGATCGCAGACAAGACCGCCACCACGAACATCGGCCAGTAGACCGGCGCTGGCACCGACTTGTAGAAAGCGTTGGCAACGTCTTCCGGATGCTTCATCAGGTACGCTGCCTGGCCGCAGTAAGCCAGCAAGAGCGTCGGATAAACAAAAGGCACGAAGGCGATCTGGATGGAGCGCGCACTGAAGTGGCCAACGTCCGCAAACATGGCTTCCGTGCCGGTGATGCACAGCACCACCCCTCCCAGCGAGATAAAGCCGTCCAGCTTGCGGAGGAGAAAGTAGTCGAGGATGAACTTCGGGTTGAAAGCTCTGAGCACGCTCAAGTCGTGAGCTCCGATGTTGTAGAGACCGATGACGCCGATAGCCACGAACCAGACGGTGAGAACCGGCGCGAACATGAAGCCAACTTTGTCCGTGCCAAACCTCTGGAGGTTGAAGAGCAGCACCAAGATCACGACCGAGATGGCCACGATGACGTTCTGTTCGAGAGAGCTCACCTGGACCTGGATCCCCTGAACAGCCGAGATCACCGAGATGGCCGGAGTGAGAGTTCCATCGCCAATCACCATGCAAGTCCCCAGCAAAGTCACGAGCAGCAGGATCATATGCACTGCCTTGCGACCCTCCATGAAGTTCCGGATCCCTTCTCGAAACCTGCCAGTGATCCTGGGAACGACGTCGTAGCCGGAGAGAGCTCGATCATCTGGATGAGCCTTTCGACCGAAAACTCCCACGTTGATGCTTCGGCACAGCAAAGTATAGACCGCGAAGGTCCCGCCTTCGTTGTTGTCACTGGCCTGGAGCACCACTAGGACGTACTTGAGGAGAGGGCTGAGCGTGAGCGTGTAGATGATGAGCGATAGAACCCCCAAAACATTGGCCTCGACGTGCTGTGGATCGATCCCATTCGGGAATGTGCTGCTAAACACGTAGAGAGGGCTCGTCCCTAGATCGCCATAGACGACCCCGATCGATTGAAAAGCTAGGCGCAGCAGCAGCGCGGTGGTCATAACCTTGACATTCGCGAGCCCGGAGACCTTGCTCGCGATGCGCTCCAGAGAATCATACCTGGACAGCGTCCTCTCTCCGGATCGCGATGGCGGCGCTTCATCGCCTGTTGGATCGCTTTCTTCCATCGGCTGTTCTTGGGAGAACCCTAAAACTCCTATTTATATGGCTCTGGAGAGAAAGGGTTTAAGGAAAAGGATTTCTATGAACCGTCGGATCAAGTGAGACAAACTTGCTATGGACCGTCGGACCGAGGGAGGGATCAAAGCATTTAAAAAAGGAATATCTTGCGCGATTTCGGGATTCTAGGGTTCCACGAGAATGCACGCTGGGTTTTCTCTTCTTCTCTTCACTGATCTCATCGATCCATGAGAGAATCGCAAGCAAGGATGGGAATTGCGCTCGCGATTCTTCTCACAGCCGCAGCGATCGGCGGCAGGGTAGATTCGGTCACTCTGGATGTCTCTCCAAAGGTTCTTGACCGCTCTGGCGAGATTATCACGGTGGAATGGTCGGATCTGGAGTCGCCGTCGCCATTGGACTGGATCGGGATCTACACGCCACCGGACAGTCTCGATGGTAATTTTATCGGGTATCTTCTCCTCTCTTCTTCCTCCGCGGCTTGGCGAGAGGACAAAGGATCGCTCCAGCTCCCACTGGTAAACATGCGAGCGGCCTATCAGCTCCGGCTCTTTCGAGGGATTCCTCCATCCAAGAGCTCGCGATTCGACGAGGATGGAAATCCTCTTCCAAGCACAGATTCCCGACTGGCAGTGTCGGATGATGTCCAGTTCGCGAGCTTCAACGAGCCAACGCAGATCCATCTCTCTTTGACATCGAATTTCGGGGAAGTTCGTGTGATGTTTGTGACCAGAGACGCGCTAGAGTGTTTTATACTCTATGGAACAGAGCAGGACTCTCTGGATTTGACAGTGGCGACGAAGTCGATCACTTACCAGCAAGGTGATATGTGTGACGAGCCGGCAAACACTACTCTGGGGTGGAGAAATCCTGGATATATTCACGATGGTGTTCTTGGAAAGCTCAAGCCCAGCAAGCGATACTTTTACCAGGTATGTTCGTCAGAAGCTTTCAAGAAGCTTTAGAACTTAGTTGTTGATCGATCAATTTTTCCAGGTGGGAAGCAAGGAGGGAGGATGGAGCAAAACGTACAGCTTCGTCTCGTCCCCGGAAGAAGGTGACGAGACAAACGCTCTTCTTTTCGGAGATTTGGGAACCACGGTACCTTACAAAACGTTCCTTTGGACGCAAGCCCAGAGCGCTAGCACTCTCAAGTGGCTGGAGCGCGAGTTAGACGAACTCGAGGACAAGCCAACGTTTATCTCTCACATTGGAGACATAAGCTACGCTCGAGGATACGCTTGGCTCTGGGACGAGTTCTTTCACCGCATCCAGCCGGTAGCAGCGAGAGCTCCCTACACCGTTTGCATCGGCAACCACGAGTACGACTGGCCTTTGCAACCCTGGAAGCCGGACTGGGCGCTGAGAGTCTATGGAACCGATGGAGGTGGTGAGTGCGGCGTCCCTTACAGTCTCAAGTTCCAGATGCCTGGGAATTCGACGCTCCTGACCGGGACAAAGGCACCAGCGACGAAGAACCTCTACTTCTCGCTCGACTTCGGCGTGGTACACTTCCTCTACTTCTCAACCGAGACGGACTTTCTCCCCGGAAGCAGACAGTACGAGTTCATCGTCCGGGATCTCGAGGCCGTAGACAGGAGCAAGGTGCCGTTCGTGGTGGTGCTCGGTCACAGGCCGATGTACACGAGCAACCACGAGGTCCGAGATGGTCCAGTGAGATCGAGAATGCTGGAGCACCTCGAGCCGGTGTTGGTGAAGAACCGAGTGGACGTTGTGCTCTGGGGACACGTCCACAAGTATGAGAGGACCTGTGCCGTGAAGAACTTCAGCTGCGCAGCCGCGGATGGATCAAGCTTTGCTCCGGTTCATGTGGTGATTGGGATGGGCGGACAGGACTGGCAGCCGCAGTGGGAGCCTCGCAGTGATCATCCAGAGTATCCAATCTTCCCGCAGCCCGAGTGGTCCGTGTTTAGAAGTGAGGAGTTTGGCTACGTGAGGCTCCACGCCACAAAAGAGCTCCTCCGGCTGTCTTACGTGGGGAATGGCGATGGTGAAGTCCACGACTACGTCGAGATTCCAGCTTCCTCCTCGATGCTACTGTCTTCGTCCCAGCAAAACGCGGTGAGGTCCATCGATCGCGCCGGGAGTGGTGCGAATTATTTCTTCACTGCGAGCTTGTGGTTTGCTGTGGGAGGCTTCTTCGCGGCGGCGATTCTTCTGAGTGTGTGGAAGAAGCGCTCGGACTCCAAGGTGGAGTGGAAGCGTTTGGAGATGAGGCCTTTGGAAGTCTAGAAGTCAGACATATATATATGCCAAGTTTCGGCAGGCAAAGCTTGTGAGGCACAAGATCTTTGAGACGCTGGACAAGTTTATAATAAGCAAGAGAAAGGTGGAGATCCAGGAAGGAAAGGCATCGGCTGAGCAAGATTTTCTCAGCGTTCTCTTGACAACGAGGGGAGAAGATGGAGAGCTCATGAGCAAGGAAGATGTAAAGCAAAACATCCTCATGATGGTCCTGCCCGGGCACGACACCACTGCTAGCACTCTGGCGGTCTCCATGAAGTGCATCGCTGAGAATCCCTGGTGCTACGATCGACTTTGACAAGGTTTTTACGATCAACCTCTATCATCTAACTCTCAAAGTTTCATGACCAGAGCATCTTGCCATTGCGAAGGATTCGAGCGAGCCACTCCGGCTAGAAGATCTCCAAAAGATGAACTACACCTGGAAAGTTCAGGAAGCCATGCGTCTGGTCTCTCCAGCGCTGGGAAACACGCGGATAGAGATCACGCAAATGACCATCGAGTGCTTCACAGTTCCAAAAGATTGGCGAGTAAATTCCTCCACTCAATCATCTCAAGACGTAAACCCTTCTTTGATTGATGGCCAGTTCATGTGGTAGCGTCTTCAGGACCACATTCTTCCGTGAGCCGGACGACAAGTTCGATCCGGAGCGATTCGGCGGGAGCTCGGTCTTGATCCCATACACGTACGTTCCATTTGGCGGAGGCCTTCGCATTTGCCCAGGGAACGAGCTCGCCAAGATGCTCCTCCGCGTGTTCTTGCATCATCTCCTCACCAGTTCCAGTGGTCGCTCCTCGATGCGTCCAAATGGCTCCAATCGTAGCTCCGGCCAATGGCCTAATATAATCTCTCGCGATGGATCTTAATTAGTGTCCTCGGGATGCTATACGGCGGTACGTTGAGAGGGCGAGGAAGATCACATCGAAAAGTGGCCGCTCGTCTTGTTCAAGCTGGTTGAGCTGCCGATCAACTTGCCAGGGACGATGTTCCAGATCGATTAAATCGCCCATTGCTTTCAAACACCTACGTTCCATTTAGCGAGGGCCCCGCATTTTTCTATACCACCGTGTCACAAGGTTTGGACGCTACTGGATCCAAACGAGGCCATGACCCACTCGCTCTCCCCGTCAATCGCATGGGCGTAAGACTCGGTTCAGTAAAAATCAGGTTTTGATCGTCATAGTTCGTAAGAGGAATAAACTCAAGAACAGTCAAGTAAGGTCAAATAAAGATTCGATGCTACAGTCAGAGGCGGCATTGTCTTCTCTTGATCACAGACAACCTCAATTTCAGGAACAAGGGCTAGAGAAAGAGAGAAAAAATGCTAGAGTTTCCAGGAGGAGTAGTAGCAGTGGTGAGCTTAGTATTAGCCGGCCTATGGATATGGAGGGCTTTCTCGCAGAAATCCTATGACCCCCCGACGCCTCCGGGGAGTTTTGGGCTCCCATTCCTGGGAGAAACTCTCCATCTCTTGTACAGCATGAAAGCAAACAGTCTATCGGAATTCTTCGAGTCTCGCGAGCGAAGGTATGGTCCTGTTTTCAAGACACACCTGTTTGGCCGCCCCACGGTGGTCCTAAGCCCTCCTCTTGGATTCAAGTTTTTGTTCTCCAACCATGGCAAGCTCGTGGAGAGCTCCTGGCCAGCGCCAATGAAGATGATCATGGGTGACAAGAGCTTGTTCTTCATGGAGGGCCAGAGAGCCAAGAGCTTCCGTCACATACTTATGGCGTTCCTTGGCCCCGAGGCAATGCGAAGGTATGTCGCAAGGACCAGCTCCATCGCCCAGGCACACATCGAGAAGTTTTGGCTGGATGGATCGGAAGTTCGAGCATATTTTCTTGTTAAGAAGGCCTTGTTCTCGGTGGTGTTTAACTTGTTCTTGAGCATACAAAACGAGGAGGAGGAGAGAGAGCTCTTGGTTCCATTTGAGGAGTTTTTGCACGGCTTACTCGAGCTGCCCATCAACTTTCCCGGGACCAAGTTTCGGCAGGCAAAGCTTGCGACGGGCAAGATCTTTGGGAAGCTGGACAAGTTTATAAACAAGAGAAAGGTGGAGCTCCAGGAAGGGAAGGCGTCGGCTGAGCAAGATTTGCTCAGCGTTCTTTTGACAACGAGGGGAGAAGATGGAGAGCTCATGAGCGAAGAAGAGGTAAAGCAAAACATCCTCATGATGGTACTGGCCGGGCACGACACCACTGCTAGCACTCTGGCGGTCTCCATGAAATGCATCGCTGAGAATCCCTGGTGCTACGATCGACTTCGACAAGGTTTTTACCATCAACCTCTATGATCTAACTCTCAAAGTTTCATGACCAGAACATCTTGCCGTAGCTGCTGCGAAGGATTCGAGCGAGCCACTCCGTCTAGAAGATCTCCAAAAGATGAACTACACCTGGAAAGTTGTCCAGGAAGCCATGCGTCTGGTCCCTCCAGCGCTGGGAAACACGCGGATAGCGATCACACACATGACCATCGAGGGCTTCACAGTTCCAAAAGATTGGCGAGTAAGTTCCTTCACTCGATCATCTCAAGAAATTCTCTTATGATCACGTAAAATCCTTCTTTGATTGATGGCCAGTTCATGTGGAGCGTCTTCCAGAGCAACAGGAGGAGCGCGTTCTTCCCTGAGCCGGACAAGTTTGATCCGGAGCGATTCAACGGGAGCTCGGGCTTGATCCCATACACGTACGTTCCATTTGGTGGAGGCCCTCGCATTTGCCCCGGGAATGAGCTCGCAAAGATGCTCCTCCGCGTGTTCTTGCATCATCTACTCACCCAGTTCCAGTGGTCGCTCCTCGATCCAAACGAGCACATCCAAATGGCTCCACTCGCAGCTCCGGCCAACGGCCTCCACATCAAACTCTCCAAAAATCCAATATAATCCCTTGGATCTTGGAAACCATAAACTATATCACTCGATCTTGGAACCAGAGCATCACACTTTACTACCATTTATAATGTTTTTCCATGAATGTATCTTTCTTACGGAAGCTTCAAAATCTTGGAGCTAAATCCAGCCACCTTACATATACGTGTACGCCTACGGTCATACGGATATGAAATCTGCCGCCACTTATTGCCGTCTCCTGTTTGTTTTTCACATTTGACTGAAGATCTTCTCAAGAAAAGCTCTCTCTCTCTCTCACACAGTAAATTATCCATAAAAATTCTGTCATGCCACAAATTGCATTTTAAAGTAAGTTTGTTTTACATTTTAATCAAGAAACAGCTGGTTATTGTTCAATATATTTTGATAATAAATATGCACATTTTATTATTACAAAGAAAATGACTTTATAAAAAGGATCACAAAGCATTAGATTAATTTGATTGGTGCCTACAAAATAACATGCATTTTTCACGTCCAAGCTAATGTCACTAACAAACAAGTAGTATTTTTTTAATAAATGGATAATTTCCTGTCAGACAGAAAAAGAATATAATGAAACTTTAAAATAGCACATAGTAGGTGGTAGTGAATATACCTAGAATGTGCTTGGATATTCTAGGATATTCTATTATTTAGATTAATCTTGTATTTAATTTATAAACAAGGTTATAAGTTATAAGCTTTCTTAAACACTTTCTAGTATATTCTTTTTTATTCTACCATCTAATGGTTGATATGGAACAAGATTAATTTTGTGTTTATAAATTATAAACATGTTTATAATTATAAAATTTTATTTTGGATTAATAAGTAAGAAGAATAAGCAAACCAAGTATTGCTACATGCAACCCATAGCAAATAAATTTTAATACAAAGAACAACAATTATTATTGAATAAACATATAATCAATATTGTTAATTGATCACATTACACGATCCATCATAGCAAAAAGTATAACTATAAATACAAGCACAACATTAGATAAAGCTAATTTTCAAATAATTTTTATTAATTGAATTTATCAGCATTCATACTTTTAAAAACCATGCTTTTTGTTCCACCGTTTCTTGTGCACTTTGCAGTTACAAACAGTTCCATCAATAGATGGGTTTCCAAAAAATCACGATAATTGCCCAGTAAAATTATCATAACGTTACTGTTAAGCTCTCCATTTCTGGAATTTTGCCCAGTAAAATTATCATAACTATATTGTTAGGCCATCAGTTTCTGGAATTTTGCAAAATTATAATCATTCAAATTTGTTCGGATTGTCGGAACAAATTTAAAAATCCAACTCCAAGCCATTGCTGTGGTTTGAGTAAAACCATAGTTCCTAGGCTTGCAAGGAAATCACCATTGACCAGGACAGAGGCACGAAGATTTCCAACGATAACATGGTGACTTACAGGATCTCGACGTTCATGACTCTCTTGATCGAAGCTCTTCGTCTAGCACTATGTTGCTCACAAATGAATCGAATCTCATTCCTGAACTTCAGGACGTAGTTTACTCCAAGCAGAACTCTCCAAAACTGTCACCTAGCAGCCTGCTTCAGGCTGTCTTCTGAGCCCGACCGGATCCACTTGCGGCTTCGTCATTCTTCTGGCCGTCTTCGGGTTTTCTAGCCCACGGAGGAGCTCTATCGGCTTCGTACCTGTAGTCGTAGAACAGTTCCTCACCGGCTGATATACGTTCCTTTGCAAATATGCCAACTCTGTGATCCCCAGCAACCATTATCACCTACACATTCATGTTGAGTTTCCAGCAGCTTTATGGAGAACACCTCACCTTTGCATAGCAGTTTGGATTTGGCGAGTGATTTGCAAATTTAAGCTTGTCACCCTTGCGGCAAGCATCCAGTACGTACTAGAGAAAGAACAGGTAGAAACAGGAAACCATGTAAATTCAGATCAACCAAACCATACCTGATCATTCAAATTAAATAAGAAGGACGAGTTCTCGCGGTCGTAAATCTTGCCACGCTTGTCAGCTTCACGATGTGATATGAGCTCTCCCGTGTATTCTCCAAGGTAGTCATGCTTATTTACCGGAGTCTAGAAGACAATCAAGCTAATAGCTACTTCTTTCTGTAAGAGCAACATACTATTACCTTTAAAAATGCACCCCAGCCAGCGACATCAGATCTTCCAAGTAAAACCTGCACAAGTTTGTTTAAGAAAAGCTAAAGGAATGTTTGAAAGAAGAGATTTTACCCGTTGTTGTTGCTTTAGAAGAAGTTTCATGTTTCGACATTCGTAGCTGTCACCCCGTGCCGGTGGTCCGCCTTGCGATCCATCCCCGCACCTGAAACAAAGGCACAAAAGAGGAAAATCACATCAGCACACGAGCTTTGCAATTGTACACCGTTGCATACCCAATCCAGCAATTTCTACAGACATCAGGATCACATTCCCGTCCAGCTGCAAAACACGGGCATTGCCGACTGGAACACTGGCTTTTAGCGCAATGGCAGCCCCTGAAGCGGTTTTTGCAGTTCTTGGAGCACCTGATAAGACAAAAACGTCGCTTTAAGCAAATGTAGCATAACACGTACCCGCAATATTTCTCGCAGCACGTCCCATTTCGATGGCAAGAACACTGCTTTCCGCACGACTCCGAGCAAGAGCAGGGTGTGTATTGTCTACAGCCATCCTTCCCATCCACGAGTCTTTTCCTGATAGCTGGATAGCCCACGGATTTCCATGTGTACTTTAGCCTACGTACACGTCCCCTCCTGCGTCCGTTGTACAACCTGGACCGCGAACGGTCAATCTCCTACAAAAGATCGTTTTAAGAGAAGAGTCAAAAAACTGTGGAGCCTTACCGTCGCATCCTCAATGACTGTGTTTCCATCCTGTTGGAGCTTTGTTTCTTCATTCAGCTTCCAGTTCACGGCTGCCTCAAGTTGCATGAATTCCCCAACCTCGGCACAGCTCTTCATTCCCCTTAGCAAATTCCTTGAAATAAGACAGCTGATAAAAATCACACAGAAGCTTTCAGTGAACTGATAAACAGGCAGGATTTTCCGTACCTGTCTCTACCAAAGATTTGCAGCCCTGTTTCGTAAAGGTCCTTCTCCAAAGTGTTCCAGTTACTGTCATATAGCGTAAGGTTCTTGGATATGCTCTGCATCACATCCTCTGGTTCCTTGATTACAGGTGGCGGCCGCTTCACAGTGGTGATCTGGCTTCCTTTCCATTTTCTCTGAGCGTAAAGCTTCTTGCTAACCAGTTTTTTCAAGTACATGCTGGCCCCAGTATTCTCGCCACGAGTCGCATTGCCACTGCCATCTCCCACCTCAGCATGCGATCCCTCCACATGGTGTTTCTTACGCGCCTCATTTGTATCATCGTCTGTATGTCTCGTCGCTTTCCTCTTTAGTAGCAACCTTCTGAGAGCGGTCACACTTTTATCTTTGAAGCTCTTCTTAGGAGCCTCAGGAGGCTTGTCCACAGTTTTGGCGACTGGTTCCGTAGCGACGCCCTTGTCTTTGGAATCCGAAACTTGCCAGCTCTTCTCAATAGCAGGTGCTGTGCTTTCTACAGGAACGGGTTTGGACTCTACGCCTGAAGAAGTGGCATCGTGGTGGCTTGAAAGGCGTGGCTGCCAAGGCGGCGTAAGAACTATGATGAAATGGCGTCATAGGATATCATACCAAATGGAAACAGCAGGGACCGCATGGTACTGACGGCAGTTCCCCCGTCTTGTTAAGTGGAGTCTGCTTATCGAACTGCAAGCTTCCATTTCAATCAGTAGCTCATCAAGCACAAGTAAGAAGCTTACAGGAATTATCACCGGCTGCGAGCAACCATGAAGCCGACAGTCGAACACCTTTAATAATGCGGGAAGTTTAGTATGAGAATAGAAAGAGCATCCCAGCTTACCAAACAACGTCGACAGAAAAGATTATCGAAGGAGTCCATTGCAGATAGAAGATCATGCTTTTCCTCGCTTTTGAGTTTGTCCCCGTCCTTCGCTAGTATTTCATACCGTGCCTGTAGCAGACGTTTGAGTTTGATTCATAATTCTGTAAAGAGCATAACATGAATATGCATATCCACGTTTCCTATCTGTTTTTCCTCTTAAAAAAATCAAGCAGCCCATCAGGCAAGGCCCGTACCTCTATCTCGCTCGGCTTTGCATCAAGACAGTCAGCCAGCGCCTTAAACATCATTTTACTCAATCCATGTTCTTGGACAGTGGCTCTACAGGCATTCAATAAGTAAAGAAAAAAAATTAGAATCAGTACTACTAACCTGATGAGAAAATCGTCACCTTTGCTAAAGTCACGTTTCTCTTCTTCCTCCTCGACTTGTTCTTCCTCACTGTCACTGCATATCAACGCTTCATTTTCAGCAGAGTCATAATAGATCCTTCTTCGACCAACGACGGATTGATCTTCGGCCATCCGCTGATTCCTGGAAAACCAAAGGTCAGTGAACTAGCACCCGCATCTTTGTTTCTCTACCTGTCCAAGAAGATCCAAGTTGTATATGGCGGCGTCTTTTGCACGGTTTGCAGCCTGACGGGCTTCACAATGCTCTTCCCACCGGAATTGTTGAAAAGAATAGGAGCCGAGGAGTCATCTTGCGAGCCACACTGCTGATCCGCGGCTGCTGGATCAGTCCCAAGCTTGTTGAGCGCCTTTTGGATCCGTGTGTTGAGCATATCGTTGTCGGCGTGATTCCTGTTATTCACAGCGCGGGAGCTGGACAGCGCCAGTAAGTGCGTACAAAATCCTTGCAATCTCTCCGAGTTTGCATCCATCCTTGCCTAGAAAATCCGCGAAGAAATCAGCTCTAGCGCTTGAGAAATCTCCAAAGAGGAGGAAAACAGTACCTTGACATAAGCTTGTCGCTCGAATGCCACTTGCTTCTTAAGCCGGGTGAACGTAGCCGACAATGCGGCCATGGAAACCTTGCCGGATGCCTCGCCTTCCTCCATAGACTGCATCGCATCGCCGATCACAAAGCTCCGCTCGAAATCGTTGCCCTCGATCGGCACAAACCTCGGATCTTAGCTGCCGCCTTCGCGCTCCACCATCGAAAACCCTCGCCCTAAAATCTGGGGTTTGGCGGGAATCGAAACGCAAAACTAGACCACACGTTCTTTCGTTTAGGTTTTTGTCGCCACTCAGCGCTGGCAGCTATGGTGTCGACGGGCAATCCAGAGAGGTAATCTCAAGCTCGCGCCATCGTTTCCAAGCAATCGATGGATCCTTCTCGTGTTTCTTTCCAGAATGTGGTGGTCCAAGGACACAATCGTGCTCGTCACCGGCGCGAACAAGGGTATTGGCTTGCAGTTGGTGCGTGAGCTCGCCAGGCGAGGATTGACGACGATACTCACGTCTAGAGACGAATCCAGCGGCAGGAAGGCTATCGAATCGCTGCTGGAAGAGGGCATTGATCGAGAAAGGCTCGTGTATCACCAGCTCGACATCACTAGCCCCGATTCGGTCGACGCGCTGGCGGATTGGGTCTCTCGCTCCTACGGTAGCATCGAAATTCTTGTGAGTAGAGATCTAGAGCTCGAATTTCGCTGTTTCTCTAGCCGTCCAGCAGATAGTTCTTTGTTTTCTTCCTTGGTGTTCTTCCAGATTAACAATGCCGGCGTGAACTCAATTGGAGTGCCGGACTTGGAGCAAGCGAAGTACGTGGTGGAAACGAATTACTACGGCACGAAGAGAGTGATCGAGGCTATGGTCCCTCTTCTCAAACCTGGAGCTCGAATCGTTAACGTCAGCTCCAAAGCTGGTGATCTCGCGGTAAGTTCCTCGCGAATATCGATGAGAAACCTTGGAGATTCTTATGGTTTTTGCACCGCAGTATCTAAAGAACGAATGGAATGCAAAGCTGGAAGATATCGCCACTCTCACGCCCAGCAAGATCGACGAGATGATCCAGGAGTTCTTCCGAGCAGTGGAAGCCAAAGAGATCAAAGCCCGCGGCTGGCCGTGCATGGGCGAGGAGCTCCCGCTAGCGCCACCAGAGATGCTCGCCGGCTACTCCCTCTCCAAGATCGCTCTCAACGCCTACGCGAGGATCATCGCGGAGAAGCTCGCGAGGGAGAAGGAGATCTTCCTCAACTCGATGTGTCCCGGCTCGACCAGCACGGCCATGTCGGGATTCAGGGGTCACTCGGTCGAGATTGGAGCCGACACCGCGGTGTGGATCGCTTTGCTTCCTCCGGGAACTCCGGAAGAACCACTTCCTCACGGGAGATTCTTCATGGATCGCAAGGACGTGGGATTCTCGCAGATGCCAGTCTTCTACGATGGCCAGTTCTACAAGAGCTTGGGAGAACTCCCGAAAAGCAAATAAACATTATTTTCAAACTGTCTCTACTGGCGCCAGGAGCTAGGGTTTGATCCAAGCTATGGTGGATCTACTGAGGAGCCGCTGGCTGATGCTAGTGGCGGGCATTTGGATCCAGATCACGATGGGATCCACCTACGTCTTTGGATTGTACTCGGAGAGCCTCAAGCGCGAGCTGGGATTCGATCAATCGCAGCTCGACACGCTAGGGTTCTTCAAGGGGATCGGCGCCAATGTGGGGATTCACACAGGATTGCTGCTCTCGCTGGCGCTGCCGCCGTGGATTATCCTGGCGCTGGGGGCGGGCCAATGTTTTCTGGGCTATTTCATGATCTGGCTCGCTGGAACGCACAGGATCCGGGGCGTCCAGCTCTGGCAGATGTGCGCCTTCATGCTCGTCGCTGCGAATTCGCAGACGTATTCCAACACCGCCGTGGTCGTGACATCTGTGACGAATTTTCCCACCAGTCGTGGCACTGTGATTGGCTTGATGAAAGTAAGTTCCATTTGATCAAAGCTCCATCAAAGCTACTCATTGTTCTAGTTCTAAATGCTTGCTCCAGGGATGCTTGGGATTGAGTGGAGCCATTCTAACTTTCTTCTATCGATCGCTATGCGGGGAAGATGGTGGCAGCCAGATTCACTACACGCTCTTTGCGGCGGTAGTCCCGACAGTGGTATGTGTTTTGCTTATGCTTCTCATTAGGCCAGTGGCACCGTCGACCATCACGCATGATCCACACGAGAACACGAACATCTCCAGGATCTCTGGGATCATCGTGGCACTCGCGTTTGGTCTCATTCCTCTCACGCTTCTCACTCCAGTGGGCCGAGTCGCGAGGATTTTGCTGTGCGTTCTACTGCTTCTAGCGCTCGCATCGCCACTACTGGTGGCATTCAAGGCAAGCAGGCTCACAAAGACGGTGGATTCCAAAGAACAGGGACAAGAGAACGTCGCGATACTCCTTGGAGAATCTAGCAGCGGCGCCAACTTTCAGGAAAAGCCCGAGAACGAGAAAAGAGGAACTTTAGTTCTTCGCAGCCAAGACTTTACACTCTCACAGGCTTTTACATCGCTCGAGTTTTGGCTACTGGTCACAGCAATGGCCTGTGGGATGGGATCGGGAGCCACAGTGATCGACAACGTGAACCAGCTTGGATCCTCACTGGGCTACTCCACACATAACATAGCAGTGGTGGTGTCGCTGGTTAGCATCTGGAACTTCCTGGGCCGGTTTGGAGCTGGAGCACTCTCGGACTTCTTCCTCAGGGTGAGGGGTGTTCCAAGGCCGGTTTTCAACTCGATCACTCTGGGAGTCATGGCAGCCGGGCACCTTGTACTGGCGGCAGCGTTCCCGGGTGCTTTGTACGTGGGAACTCTCCTCGTTGGGCTGTGCTACGGCTCGCAGTGGTCGCTCATGCCAGCAACAGTGTCGGAGATCTTCGGCATGAAAGAGTTTGGGACGCTCTTCAACACCATCGCCGTGGCAAGCCCACTGGGAGCTTACATTCTCTCAGTGAGAGTGGCGGGCTACTTCTATGACAGGGAAGCGCAGAGGCAACAAAGCCATAGCCATGGGAGCTCGATCCATTCTCTGCCAAATTCTTGCCACGGTCCAGCATGTTTCAGGCTCACCTTTCTCGTGCTCGCTGGAGTCTGCCTCTTGGGCTGCGTTTGTACGTCACTGCTCGTATCAAGGACGAGGAAGTACTACAAAGAAGCTCACAAGACCCTCTACCATAGCAAAAGCTGGCAAAAGTAATAGTGCCATTTGATCAAAGTATAAAGGTATAATTTCTTTTCATATGGTATCAAACGACTCCTGTGTATGTGTATAATAATTTGCTAGCATAATTTGTCTAATGGTACCAGATTATTATAACAAGGCCGTGAGTGTTCTCAGCTAATTTACATACTACTATTCGATGTCGTGCCAAACAGCATTGGTTAATGGGACAATCACTGATGCTAGAATTATTGTAACATATCAAATATAATAGACAATACCTCCTTAAGTTAGTAGTAGGTTGTACTCTTCGTAGTATTTATATTAAATAGCTTTTAATGATTTCCTTTTGATTATTCTTGCATCATATAGTATACTCATTTTAATAAAAGTGATAAGCGAGCATATGGTTTCTGTTGGCCATGGCCTTGAAAGTTCTCTGCACGCCGCTGAGGTGACCGATGTGAGCATGCACCGCCACCATCACGTTCCACGAGAAGATATCCCAGCTCCACAAGATCACGCTCTCGCAAAGTACGTGGACTTGGATCACCAGGTTCCAGGAGCACGAATCATATTGGGGGGATTCTCGAGAAGACTGCTTCAGCGTTCCTGGCGAGACCATTTTGGCTGCAGGTGCGGAGGAAAGCCATGGAGTTGAGGTCGGCCATGGTTTTGAAGAAGCGGTCCTCGCAGTCTCTGGTATGCCCATGGAAGAATTATGAGAAAGATAATCCAGCAGCAGCGACAAATATTGTAGTTTCTCTTATAACCTTTCAGAGTTAATGGGAACTTGGTTATGATGAATATTTACCTGAAACAATATTTCGCCCTCACCTTGGCATATGAAATGCTTTGACACTTTATTCCAAAGGCCCGCTATACTTTCCGAAAGGCTTGAGGTGATATGTTGCCACACCCTGCACGGCACCGCAGGGGAGGTAAAGCCTGCGAGCAAACACTTTGGTGCTCGCTCCTCCCCGTTCTACTCTCACCTCTTCTCCGCCATCATCTTCGTCTCGAGCAACGCCAGTGATCGATAGTTCAAAGCCGGACTTGTCCTCCACCCAAGCGATGTCTACCGTGGCCGACTGCGCACCGGGCATCTCCGCGACGACGTACGAGCCTGGATGATCCACCAAGGGGGAGATGGTGATGAAGTCGTCACCACAATCATCTGCGTCGTTGGAGGCGAGAGCTTCAGGCCGAAATTGCCCGGCCGCGTCTGAAATGGTGCACGAGGCCGGAGGAAGACGCGGGGCAGGCACCGAAAGGTACTCCTCCTCCACTGTTTGCTCCAGCCCTGGGACAAGCGGCAGCGTCACTCGCAAGAGACTACTGTCAAGCCGGTAGCTTATCCTTTCCGCGTCCACTGCATCGGGGAGCACAAACTCTCGTGCAAACATCTTGGTGAAGGAGGATGCGACGCTCTTTCGCCTCGTGAGAGATCCCGACGATGGTCACGAGTCGACGGAATTGAGAGCCTGAGACCTCCACCTTGACATCGCTCACGCCCGGCATCTCCGAAAGGATGAGATACGAGTGCGGGAGGCAGCAGCAATGAAGCACTTGTGTGCGCTCATAGCGTGCTCGACCTCAACCGTGCCGTTGGAGGCGGTCCCGCACCCGCGCGCCTGGCGGAGAGAGCAGTAATCAGGGCTGCATGCTTGTGCCGCGACAAGCACCAAGAATACCATCGCCACCCTCGCTGCCGCCACCACCATTCTTCGCCCTTGTAAACAACAAAGAGTCGATCAAGGATCAAAAACATCAAGTTAAACTAGAAATAGATCCTCCGGAGCTGAACTCATTATAAGGCGGCATCGATTTGCTTTTTTCCACTCTTTCTGCCCCCTCTTTGCTTGGCTCACTACCCTGATAATGCAAAGAAGGTTTGGATGGACTTTCCTCGACTGTGCTGGGTTGAAAATTTCCATGCACTTTGTTATCTTCCTCACGTCTTTATCCAGCACTCCCAACAATTGCTTGAGTCAATTTATTACATTTCCTTTTAGGTTTGGAGGTGGCACATTTTGAGATCATTTCCAATCCGGATAGGCTAGATTTATTGTGCTCCTTTTTGTGGAAGATAAAAAATCTCACATGCTTTTCCTTTGGCATGGTGCATTGCATCAGTTTTAACACCAAATTTACCCTTGCTACGGATAGGAATATTTAGCCTTTACTCTTTTATGTAAGACTAGTATTTGCCCAGCAAATGCTGGGCAGTGTGTGGCATTCAGCTGCTGTCACTCAATGAGGTGTTGCTTCCCAACTTCAACCAAGGTAAGGCTTAGCATCCATTAAGTACTTACTAGGTCCAGGCAATATCACATGGAGCACCTATTGTGGACAAAGATGTTTCGTTCTTGTGTCAAAAGCAAGAGGCCCATCCTGTGAAGCTCTTTTCAATTTCGCACATAGAGGTAACCTGTTTGTAATTCTGGCGTCTCGCTACAATGAATCTTAGTGGGGAGTGGATTTTCCCAATCTGACTGTCAAGACTTAAGAGCAGTTCCCCAAGGTATTTACTCCCAGCAGCAATCTAGAGTGATACTAGGCCCAGGAATCTGAGCGGTCCATAGGCAAGTCCAAGCCTGTCCCATTCAAGCCAGAGCACCCTCCTCTCCTTACCATTTTACCTTGGTTTGAGCTGCAGGAAGTGCTATGATCCTAAAATGCTAGCGTGAATATCATCAATGAACATGCCACGTTCATCCTATGTTTGGCCTTCTATTGGGACGAATGTTTCTATGGGCAACCAAAGCAATGATGATAGATTTTTGTGTTTAATATTTTGAATACAAAGTTTAACAATGATTTATATTAAACAGGAGGGTTTGCAATGGTTGCTGAAGCATGGGATGATACTCTAAGTATGAGGATTATGTGAAAATGATAACATGGTTTATGTATCTCAAAGAGTTCAATTGTGTTCATCATGATATATGTAATATAAAAGGAGATTAACAGAATTCCATGAAGACTTAGAAGCTCGAAGCAAGGGAAGGCAGGTAGCAACTTTGGATCTAGTGTGCCTTTGATTAAATTTGAATGGTTGAAGATAGAACAATTGTTTAAGAGAGAGCTCAAGGGAGATTTACTATGGCTTTCTACCAACACTTGGTGAATACAACATGCAAAACAAGTATACATGGGAGAAATTCAAGAACAAGTTTTTGTGAGTGTACTTCACAATCTGATGAGAAGAGGGAAGGGTAATTACAGGTTTGATGGCTCAATTCACGGATTGACCTGAAAAAATTGTACATTATCAGTGGAGAGAAGAAAACCTACCTTAAAATCTAAGGCACATGAGAAAGGGATAAGGAGAAACCTTGTGTAAACAAAAGAAGGGTGGTAGTGACATATGTTTTGGTTGTGGTGATACAAATCACAAAGTGCATGATTGTCCTTTGGTGTAAAAAGTTGCAAGTTGAATACTGATTCTAAGAGTGTTTGGTTAATGGACATGTCAAACATGTAAAAAGTAGTTCACTATTGCAAATGATTGAATAGAGCCTGAAAAAATGTTGCAATTGGATATAAACCATTCTAGGGGTGAGAGTAGAGTTTGAAGATTTACCTTTTAGTTCAAAGTAAAATCCTTTCCTTGTTTAGTTTGTGCTTGCTTTTTTTTTTCTTCTTTTTTGCGATCTTTTGTTTTATATTGGTCCTTGACCTCGTGGTCTATAGTAACTGTTCACTTGATAAGCTGGAAAAAATTCTGAAGACGAGTCATCCACCATTTGCATGGACATTTCCACTGAGTGTACGGGAATGTGTTCCTGTCCAAATGATGGTGATGCCAATTGAGCTAGCAACTTCTTTTGCCTTTGTTGATGGTAGTGAGAACAGTAGCCATCATCTTCGTGATGTCTTGCATGCAGGTTTCCAATGATGATGTCAATTTCTACTGCACTGAGAATGCAAAGGTAGAGGAAGATGATCCCATCTCAATCAAGTACTTCCGCCCCTGAGTTTCCTCCTCCAATATTGCAGCCTCCACCATCATACTTCCTTGCGATGTACTTTCCGAGCCAGATCAGGATGCAACTGTAAGCTCTCACCACCCCTAAACTCGTTGCATCAACACCCTTATCCTTGCATTTAGAACCGCTGGTTGAATTGCCTAAGAGACTCTTGGGGTTGTTGGCGGATGAGATCAAGCTCCTCCGCCATCACATGATCTTTGCTCTCTAGTATTTCAAAAGAGTGAGGAAAAGCTTTGTGAAAGACTCAAAGTCAACTGCCTGGTGAGCTGCCACAAGAAAGCCTAACCAGAAAATGACAACCAAAAATATGCCATCTGTGAGTACTTAGGAATCGCCATCGCTGCTAGAAAGGACTTTACACTTTCCACATGCACCAAGTCTCCTCTGAATGTTAGGAGGATTGCTACTATGTGTGCATCAAGAGCATTCCGTTGTCTTGGGGCCAACATCGGTCTTGTGTTTCGTTTCCTTGCAAGTGGCAAAGAGCAGATTTCTTGAAACGGTCAGTTAGAGATATGGCCAGTTTTGGAGCGAGTTGACACCAGTACAGGAAATCACGCCCTCCCCCTCAGCGTCCCGTCCCAGGGCAGTTCATGAAGTCCTGTACGCATGCAAGGGCATGCAAGCTCTGATCTATCTTTCAGCCTTTATTCCCGTACGTTGTCTTACTCCTCTATCACAACTCGTCCTTGTAGAAACTCACAACTGTAAATACCTCAAACCTAGAGAGTGGCTTGATGAATGGATTGCAATTTAATTGTGCTTTTCTGCCTCTTCTGCTCAACTCCATTTTGTTCCTCTTTCCTACACTCTAGTGGAAGAGAAAGACTGTCATCACCCTTAAAAGTTTCATGACCAATCCTCCTTTTTAGCACGCAAATTTGAGAAGCGAAGTCAAAAGCTTGCCACCGCTCTTGCTCAGATGTTTGCGAGGTGTGAGTGATCACTGCCCAGTGCCGATGCTGTCTTTTGGCAAATCCCTCCACTCCACAAGGACGTCCGCTTTCTGTCGACCTCAGCGCTGTCAAGTGTCCAACAAGTTTTGATCCGATTCTTGTGACCATTATCTTGGCTTCTTCCAAGTGACTCTCTCTAGACGATCGCAATGGTCGCTTGGAGCTCTGCTCATTCAATGGAAGATAACGATGGCTCCCTGCCATTCTTCAAGTCCAAGGCGATCACGATGCCTCGCTGCAGTTCAAGGCGATCTGGACAAGCGATCAAACTTCGGGAGGCCTCAAACCAGCCCAAGAGCGTCGTGGAGTTTTCAGTCCGCCCTGTGAACGTCGAGGCATGTCGAGTTTCTTGCCTTCTATGTCCATACTTCCGCCCCAGAGCTCGAAATCTTCCTGGAAAAATCAGCTTACAAGCCGAAACATCGCCGATCCATCATACCTCGACACCCTTATAATCGTTGATAAGCGAGAAGAAAAAGCTTTTGTTACCTGTATGAACAGTAGCAGTAGCCTTCTTTATGTTACCAAATCCTTGGCTCTATATTCCTCTTTGTCTTCCAATGACGTTTCATTATCTTGACAAAGGTTTTGGCGACGTCAAGTTTGACAGTCTTCCTGCTACAGTTCAGAGTAGAGTAATGGAACGCGGATTCTAGAAATGATAGGCACTCACCTCTTCCTTCTTCCTCATCCATTCTCACTCTTTCCCATGGCAAGAGCTTTGATGTTTGTCGCCTTACAGTGGATGTTCCTGGATTCGCTTCTGGCAGCGTCTACAGCGGAGATCTCGGCTATCAGAGACATTGCCTCCGCCCTAGGAGTGCCGGCCACGGTCTGGAACACGAGCACGGATCCCTGCAGTGGAAGATGGAGGGGAATCAGCTGCTGCAACGCACAACGAGTGAACTCTACCTGCTGTTCCTCCATCTACAGTCCGTTTGAAAGCACCCTTTGTCCAGACTCCTCCTCCGCAAACTCGTCCACCATCGTCGGAGTGTCTCTCGACTCCAATTCCATCATGCGAGTGTTGAGTGGTTCTCTCCCCGATTCCGTCTGTAATTTGACGTCATTGGTTACTCTGGATCTCAACAACAACAACTTACAAGGCCCGATTCCTCGCTGCATCGGAATCCGGCTGACACGGCTCAAGAAGCTCGGGATGGCTGGAGGTGCAGGGAACCTCGGAACCATTCCGGAGGAGCTCGGGAGCTTGAGCAGCTTGGAGCAGCTTTACCTGGATAACACCAACTTGACCGGGCCAATCCCAAGCTCTTTCGGAGGTATGACAAGCCTGCAGCAGCTGGATATTAGATACAATAGATTATCAGGAAGGATTCCATTGGAGCTGGGAAGGTTGTCTAACCTCGTGGAGCTGGGAATTCAAGTGAACAGCTTGGAAGGTGGCATCGAGGCCGTGGCCAGCTTGACACGCCTCGAGACTTTGAGAGCCTTTAACAACCATTTTTCCGGGAACTTGAGCCTGTCCATCTTCCGGAACCTGTCAAGCCTGAGGGTGTTGAATCTCAAGCTAAACAACTTCACGGGTGGCATACCTGAGCTCGATGAAAGATTTGTCAATCTAACTCATCTCGACTTGAGCTTCAACCAGTTCTCCGGCGGCATTCCAGGCTCCCTGGTTAGACTCCCTTCTCTCACACATCTCTTCCTCGGCCACAACAATCTTTCGGGAGCCATTCCTTCTTCACCTCCGCCGGCTCTCCAGGTTCTGGATGTCTCCCACAATTCTCTCAGTGGCTCCTTGCCGAATCTACCACAGCAGCTGCAAGTCGACTTCTCCTTCAATTCCCTTAACTCGGTCTCTTCTTCAGCTGGTGGAAACGGGCAAGGATACTTCAACTGCATCGCTCCCGGACTTTCATGCAACCGGTCACTGCCTGGAAGATCCACTTCATTCGCGGTTCGCGTAGGTAGCTCCGAGGACTTGACGAACAGGGACGGTACTCTCTTTCGCAGTGACGGTTTTGCACGAAACTCCACAGGTCTCCACTACTTGGAAGCTGACAGAAACTGGGCGCTGGAACTCTCGAGTGAATTCAGCAGCACGGTGACATTCCCAGCAACGATCAGTGGAGTACCTCCCGAGGACAATTCCTCTCTCTATCAAACCATGAGGTGGTCATCTTCCTATCTTGCCTACCATGGTGGCAACCTGGCTCCTGGAACTTACAGCGTCTCACTGTACTTTTGCGAGACTGTCTTCACCAACGCGAGCTATCGAGCCATGGACGTCGTGGTTCAAGGTGAAGTGATCGCTAGGCAGCTCGACGTTGTGAGAGAAGTTGGACCCCGGACAGCGTACAAGATCACCAGGAACGCCACGGTCACTGATGGAAGCTTGTCCATCGAGTTCATCTTCACCGGGCCCGACCGCTACATCAATCCAAACATCTTCCGACTCGCGCCACAATCTGGAGCAATGGTGTCTGCCATCTCGGTAAGATCCTTCGATCACGTAGACTCTCTGGGCAGTAATTCCTCGAGAACCTGGAAGGTAGCAGTAGCAGCGTCAGTCTCCGCAGCAGCTGCTGCCATCGCAGTTATCATCATCGTCGCCATCTTCTTTTGCAAGAGATCCAGGAAGAACTTTCGGGCAAAGAGTTTTTCTATCTACAGTGACACCGTTGGGATCAAAGTCTACAGCTACAAGGAACTCTACGAGGCAACCGATGGATTCAATCCAACGAAGAAGCTCGGGCAAGGAGGATTCGGCAGCGTCTACGTGGGGAACTTGCAAGACCAAACTCTAGTCGCAGTCAAGCAACTCCTCCATCAAACCCAGCAAGGCCGGGAGGCTTTCCGGAAAGAAATCCGGATTCTAAGCAGCGTCCAGCACAGGAATCTCGTGGCAGTGAGAGGATACTGCCTCGAGGCCGAGCATCCAATGCTGGTATGCGACTACATGCGCAACGGAAGCCTAGACCACTTCCTACACGGGAGCAGGGGATTTCTCACCTGGAATCAGCGCCGGAAGATCGCGATCGACACCGCATTTGGCCTGGCGTACCTCCACGATGAATCCAAGCACCGGATCATCCACTGCGACCTCAAACCGCCAAACATCCTCCTGGACGACGATCTGATGCCGCGCATCGCGGATTTCGGCATGGCGCGGCTGTACGAGGAGGGAAAATCGCACGTCACGGCCACAAAAATGGGAGGGACGATCGGCTACCTCGCCCCAGGTAAGAAGAAAGAACGGATTTCTAGGGTTCTTGATCTAGGGTTTATTGATATTTCTTCTCTCGCAGAGTACGCGATGCACTACCAGCTCTCCGACAAGGCGGATGTCTACAGCTATGGCGTGGTGCTGCTGGAGATTATCAGCGGCCGGCGGGCGATCGATAGCGCGGCGCCTCGCGAGGAGGTGGTTTTGGTGGATTTTGCGCAGAGCTTGGCGTCGATCTCGACGCTGGAGCTTGTGACGCTGCTGGATAAGAAGCTGGAGGGGGAGGGAGGGGAGATTAGCGTGGCAGAGGTTGTAGATATGGCTAGGGTTGCTGTGCTGTGCACGCTCGAGAATCCATTGCTGCGGCCGAGAATGCGGGCCGTGTGGCTCATGCTCAAGGGTACGATGGAGATTCCAGACATTCCCGCGATGCTGGACACCAGGTATAACGCCGTCAGGGCGCTCATGAGTGCTTACGAGCGATCGCAAGCAACGAGTGATTGCGCTGAGGCTGTTCTTCTCAGCCCGCGATAGAAGTGGTATGGATCAAACAGGAGTTCTCACTTACCTTGTTCAGTCTTGAGAAGCGATTTGATTGATAGTTTTTGACACAATCAAACCAGAAGTTTCGCAAGCTACTGGATGGGAGCTTGCGTAGCTTGAACGATCAGAAGAAGTTTCTAAGCATGACAAGCTATCAACGCTGCCGAAAAGTTGCAGAAGGTATGAACTAGTTCTACTTAGTGTAGTTGGGACCATCGATTTACTCGACTCTCTTTCAGGAGTTTCCGTGCAACGACGCTGTGGGACTCCGCCGCAACAGAAGGACATATAGAAAATGGATAAGTTGTCTCAAAGGGACCTGAAAAGGCACTCTTTTTGAGCACAGCAGCCGAATAGAAGTCAATCCCGGCGAGCTCTTCCATTTTCTACTGGTATTCGGAACAGGAACCAGCCAGCAACCTGTGCGCTGTATCAGCCAACCAGGATAAGCAGCGTTTTATTTGCGAGTCAAGAAATATTGATTTGCGAGTCAAGAAATACAGGTGAGTGCTTGGAGTTCTACTCAATCACGTTAATTGATTCGTCTTTCAGGTGGAAATCCGAGTAAGCGAGCAATGAACGTCACAGGGGCCTTTGCTGACGTACCGCAAAAATTAACAGTAGCAGCAGAGATGAGCGTAAAAAGGAGGAACAACTTAGCAGAAGAAGATGGATGTAATCAGCGATGTGGGGAAGCGTATCATGGACGATTGTGTCCATTTGGTTTCTTCGAATCACAGACGCGGCAAGTGTTTTGGAGACTACAAGCTTGATTGCAGCAGCTTCAGTGCTGGGCATTGCTCCAGGGACATGGAACTTCTCCACGGATCCGTGTGTAGGGGGATGGACAGGTGTAGGCTGCTGCAGGAACAACTCACGGGCTCTGTGCTGCGCATTCCCGCAAATCTATCCAGCGACACCACCGCTGACACCGTGCGAGCGGACAGCAGACGCTCAAGTCTCGACTTTGATCCTCCGGTCTGATCTCTTCGGCAACCAGCTCCTCAACGGAACACTTCCGGAAGCTCTGTGCAACCTTACGTCTCTGAGGATTCTGGACGTGGGCTTCCAGCGTCTGCGTGGACAAGTTCCAGGATGCATTGGCAGCAGATTGAGCAGCCTGCAAATCCTCCGTATGGGTGAGAACAGATTCAGTGGCAGCATTCCCGAAGAGCTAGGCGAATTGAGAAGTCTCCAGCAGCTTTTTTTGGATACAACAAATATCTCGGGTCCCATTCCTGCGTCTCTGGGAAGGCTGAGCAACCTCACCAGTCTCAGCCTCTGGAGCAATGCGCTTGAAGGTGATCTTCCCGAGGAGATCGGCCAGCTGAGTAACTTAGTCGCGCTCTCGCTTCAGGGAAACAGGCTTACTGGACGTATTCCTGACAGCTATGGCAACCTTGCCAACTTGCGAATCTTGAGGCTTTTCAACAATGAGCTCTCTGGAGGTATCAGCTCGTCGGTCTTCCAAGGCATGACTTCTCTCACGTATGTGAGCTTGAGACACAACAGGTTCAGCGGTCCTATCCCGGATTTTGGCGTCGGGTTCAGCTTGAGCACGGTTGACTTGGGATTCAATGAATTCTCGGGGCCACTGCCGGGTTCTCTTGGAGGTCTTTCTTCCTTGACAAGCTTGTTCATCGATCACAACAGGCTCAATGGCAGTATTCCGGACAGCTTTGGTTCTTTACCTGCGTTGGCCCAACTGGATATCTCACACAACATGCTCGGGGGGTCCTTACAGTCGCTAGGAGGGAACACTCAGCTCATGCAGTTGGATGTTTCCTTCAACTTTTTCAACATCTCTAGCGCTCCAGCATCCGTCCCGCAGCAGCCAAACCTCAACGCTTACTTCAACTGCGTCCCTTCCGGTTCTTCTGGCACTTGCTCCAGCTCGCCTCCCGGTGGAAGGCCTTTCTTCGCTGTCAATGCTGGTGGCAATGCTTTAAGCAGCACTACAGGCAGCAGGGTCCAGGTAGCATTCGATTCGGACGCAAATTCAAACAATCAGAGCGTGGGATTTTTCTATGGATCAGGACCAGGTTTATGGGCTTTAGAAGTTTCGGGCAGTGAAGGTGGTACACTTGCGTTCCAAGGCTTCATCAATATGACCGGTGCTGGGGGTACGGAGGAGGGGCTCTACCGAAGCATGCGTTGGTCTTCCTCTTACATCGGATATCACGGTTATTCTCTAAGACCAGGAAACTATACAGTGATGCTCTACTTTGCCGAGCTTGTGTTCACGGAGCCGGGATACAGGATCTTCGACGTTGTCCTCCAAGGAAGAGTTGTGTGGGAGAACCTGGACATTGCTAGAGAAGCTGGAGCTCAAGCAGCGTACGTGATGAGTCGTAACATCACCATCAACAACAGTGGCAGCGTTTCGGTCGAGCTGGTTTACAAGGGTCGAGATAGATTCTCATTAAATCTCGGTCCCTGGGCAGTGAGAAACCCCGGCCCGATTGTCTCGGCAATCTCAGTCGTTTCAGTCGACTACAGGGGCGAGGGAGGGAACTCGACGTCTTTGAGCTCGGGCCAGATAGCCGGGATAGCACTTGGAAGTGGAGCAGCCTTGCTCATCCTCGTAGCGTTGCTAGTGTATATATGCAAAGGCAAGCGTGCTGGGGTAGCAGCTTCGACTACAACGAATGGTCCTACAAACCAGCAAGCCTCTCTCCTGGATGCTGGGGGCATTTTCACATACCAGGAGCTCCATGACGCTACAGGAGGCTTCAATGACAAGCTCGGAGAAGGAGGATTTGGAGCTGTGTACAAGGGGACACTCCCAAACGGGACTGTTATCGCTGTGAAACAGCTCGTCAAGCACTCTCAACAGGTTGAGGAGGATTTCAAGCGAGAAATTTCCATCATCAGCAAAGTCCGCCACCGGAACTTGCTGGCAGTGATTGGCTACTCTCTTGAGTCGGACGTCCCGATGCTCGTCTGCGAGTTTATTCCCAATGGGAGCTTGGATAAGTGGCTATTTCGTCGGCGTGAGAGTGCTTTGAGCTGGGAGGCTAGAAGAGCGATCGCGATCGGAGTTTCTTGTGGGCTTGCCTACTTGCATGACGAGTCCAACCTGAGGATCATACACTGCGATGTGAAGCCCGCCAACATCCTTCTCGACGAGGATTTCAATCCCCGGCTCGCAGACTTTGGGCTGGCAAGGTTGTACGACGAGAGGGAGTCTCATGTCACGGCGACGAGATTGAAAGGCACGGCAGGCTATCTAGCACCAGGTAAGCTTGAGTTTCTCTTCTCTTTGGATTGTGCTTGATTTTTCTCTTTTGATGTTCTCGTAGAATACGCCATGCAACTCCAGCTCTCGGACAAAGTTGACGTATACAGCTTTGGGGTGGTGTTGCTGGAGCTCTTGAGCGGGAGGCGTGCAGTGGAGCTCTCGGCTCCCTCGGAACAGATCGTTCTTGTGGACTGGGCTCACAAGGAGGCCGAGATCCCAGCGAACTTGCTGGACATCGTGGACAGGAAGCTACAGGGGGGCTTTGTGGAGCAGGAGGCCAGGGACATGGCCAGCATCGCCATCCTTTGCACGCAACGCTCGCCGGCGCTGCGTCCAAAGATGCAGGCAGTGTGGCTCATGCTCACGGGCGCGGTCAAGGTTCCAGAGTTCTTGGAGAACTTGACGGCAGTCATCCCTTCTTCTTCCGGAGGATCGACGAGCCAGACCTTGAGTTCTGGGAACTTGTCGGAGACGTCAATCGCGGCATTTAGATCTTTGCGAGTCTTTGGGAGGGTTGCGAGTCCGGAGAGCTTTTCTTCCTCGAAGGCCGTGACACAGTAGAGGCTACAAGCTAAAACTCCGTGCATGTTTCATGCAAGCTTTCAGTTGTGGCTAAGAGCACGATGGGGATTCCAGACATTCCAGCGATGCTGAAGATCTTCTCCTTAGCCCGCGATAGAAGTCCATGGATCAAGCAGGAAGTGTTATTTCTCACGCCAGTTTCCATGGGAAGCGATTGATTGGATGGTACAATACTCGCTATCAGCTTGCGATCAGAAGAAGGTTCCAAGCATGAGCAAGCACAAGCTATCAACTCGTCTCTCCTTGCCGAAAATACGGTGTCAATGCAAAAGGTATGAACTCTTCCTGGCGTAGTTATTCCTGGGGACCATATCTGGTGGACTTCTTTGCAGGCGTTCGCTATGGACTCCGCCGACAGAAGTTGCTCGTCTCGGGATTTCGAAAGGGACAAGGATATCAATGAAAAGTTTCACTCGTTTTGCGCTCAGCAGCCGAGAACGTGGAAGTCAAGTCCGTCAGCCAGCCAGAGCTCTTCCAATTTCTACTGGCACTGAGGAAAGGGACCGGCCAACAACGTATAGGATAAGCAGCTCTTGTGGGGTCTGATTTGCGAGTCAAGAAACACACAGGTCAGTGAGTCCTATTCTATCACGTTAATTGATTGTGTCTTTCCAGTGTAATTCGAGGACGCCAGCGAAGACCGTCACGCGGGCCCTTGCTGATGTGTATGGAAGACAATGGCAGCGGACAAAAGTACCGTGTAAAGATTGAAGCAGAGATAAGCGCAAGATCGGGATCACCTTAGTAGCAGAAGAGATGTTCTGCCAACAGCGATGTGGAGAAGCGTATCATGGCTTTCGACGATTCTGCCCATCTGGTTTCTTCGCATCACGGACGGGGCAAGTGTTTTGGAGACTACAAGCTTGATTGCAGCAGCTTCAGTGCTGGGCATTGCTCCAGGGACATGGAACTTCTCCACGGATCCGTGTGTAGGGGGATGGACAGGTGTAGGCTGCTGCAGAAACACCTCAGACGCTCTATGCTGCGCATTCCCGCAAATCTATCCGCCGACACCACCGCTGACACCGTGCGAGCGGACAGCAGACGCTCAAGTCTCGACTTTGATCCTCCGGTCTGATCTCTTTGGCAACCAGCTGCTCAATGGCACTCTTCCGGAAGCTCTGTGCAACCTTACGTCTCTGAGGATTTTGGACCTGGGCTTGCAGCGTCTGAGTGGTCAAATTCCAGGATGCATTGGCAGCAGATTGAGCGGCCTGCAAATCCTCAGGATTGGCGACAACAGATTCAACGGGAGCATTCCGGAAGAGCTAGGCGAATTGAGAAGTCTCCAGCAGCTTTTTTTGGATACCACAAACATCTCGGGTCCCATTCCTGCGTCTCTGGGAAGGCTGGGCAACCTCACGAATCTCAACCTCCGGAGCAATGCGCTCGAGGGTGATCTTCCCGAAGAGATAGGCCAGCTGAGCAACTTAATCGAGCTCTCGCTTCAGGTAAACAGGCTTACTGGAAGTATTCCTGATAGCTATGGCAACCTTACCAACTTGCAAACCTTCAGGCTTTTCAACAATGAGCTCTCTGGAGGTGTCAGCTCGTCAGTCTTGCAAGGCATGGCTTCTCTCACGGATTTGAGCTTGAGGCACAACAGGTTTAGCGGTCCTGTCCCGGACTTTGGCCTCGACTCGAGGTTGAGCACGGTCGACTTGGGATTCAATGAATTCTCGGGGCCACTGCCGGGTTCTCTTGGAGGTCTTTCTTCCTTGACAAGCTTGTTCATCGGTCACAACAGGCTCAATGGCAGCATTCCGGACAACTTTGGTTCTTTTCCTGCGTTGACTCAACTGGATATCTCACACAACATGCTCACCGGGTCCTTACAGTCTCTAGGAGGGAACACTCAGCTCACACAGTTAGATGTTTCCTTCAATTTTTTCAACATCTCTAGCGCTCCAGCATCCGTCCCGCCGCAGCCAAATCTCGGCTCGAACGCTTACTTCAACTGCGTCCCTTCTGGTTCGTCTGGGACTTGCTCCAGCTCGCCTCCTGGTGGAAGGCTTTTCTTCGCTGTCAATGCTGGTGGCAATGGTTTAAGCAGCACTACAGGCAGCACGGTCCAGGTAGCATTCGATTCGGACGCAAATCCAAACATGGGATTTTTCTATGGATCGGGACCAGGTTTATGGGCTTTAGAGGTTTCCGGAAGTGAAGGTGGTACACTTCCGTTCCAAGGCTTCATCAATATGACCGGTGCTGGGAATACAGAGCAGGAGCTCTACCGAAGCATGCGTTGGTCTTCCTCGTACATCGCATATCACGGGTATTCTCTAAGACCAGGGAACTATACAGTGATGCTCTACTTTGCCGAGCTCGTGTTCACGGAGCCGGGATACAGGATCTTCGACGTTGTCCTCCAAGGAAGAGTTGTGTTGGAGAACCTGGACATTGCGAGAGAAGCTGGAGCTCGAGCAGCGTACGTGATGAGTCGTAACATCACCATCAACAACAGTGGCAGTGTTTCGGTCGAGCTGGTTTACAGGGGTCGGGACAGGTACTTGGATATTGGTCCATGGACGTTGAGAAACTCCGGCCCGATTGTCTCGGCAATCTCAGTCGTTTCGGTCGACTACAGGGGCGAGGTAGGAAACTCAACGTCTTTGAGCTCGGGCCAGATAGCGGGTATAGCACTTGGAAGTGGAGTAGCCTTACTCGTCCTCATAGGGTTCCTTGTGTATATATCCCGTAGAGGCAAAGGCAAGCGGGCTGGCAGAGCAGCTTCGACTACATCAAGGCGTTCTACAGACCAGCAAGCCTCTTTCCTGGATGCTGGCATTTTTACGTACCAGGAGCTCCATGATGCTACTCAAGGTTTCAGTGACAAGCTCGGGGAAGGAGGATTTGGAGCTGTGTACAAGGGGACACTCCCAAGCGGGACTGTTATCGCTGTGAAGCAGCTCGTCAAGCACACTCAACAGATTGAGGATGATTTCAAGCGAGAGATTTCCATCATCAGCAAAGTCCGTCACCGGAACTTGCTGGCAGTGATTGGCTACTCTCTTGAGTCGGACGTCCCGATGCTCGTCTGCGAGTTTATTCCCAATGGGAGCTTGGATAAGTGGCTGTTTCGTCGGCGTGAGAATGCTCTGAGCTGGGAGGCTAGAAGAGCAATCGCGATTGGAGTTGCTTGTGGGCTTGCCTACTTGCACGACGAGTCCAAGCCGAGTATCATACACTTGGACGTGAAGCCCGGCAACATCCTTCTCGACGAGGATTTCAATCCCCGGCTCGCAGACTTTGGGCTGGCAAGGCTGTACGACGAGAAGGAGTCTCATGTTACGGCAACGAGATTGAAAGGCACGGCCGGATATCTAGCACCAGGTAAGCTTGAGTTTCTCTTCTCTTCGGATTGTGCTTGATATTTCTGTTTTGATCTTCTTGTAGAATACGCCATGCACCTCCAGCTCTCGGACAAAGTTGACGTATACAGCTTTGGAGTGGTGTTGCTGGAGCTCTTGAGCGGGAGGCGTGCAGTGGAGCTCTCGGCTCCCTCGGAACAGATCGTTCTTGTGGACTGGGCTCACAAGGAGGCCGAGATCCCAGATAACTTGCTGGACATCGTGGACAGGAAGCTACATGGGGACTTTGTGGCGGAGGAAGCCAGGGACATGGCCAGCATCGCCATCCTTTGCACGCAACGCTCGGCGGCGCTGCGTCCAAAGATGCAGGCTGTGTGGCTTATGCTCACGGGAGCGGTCAAGGTTCCAGAGTTCTTGGAGAACTTGTCGGCGGTCCTTCCTTCTTCTTCCGGAGGATCGACGAGCCAGAGCGTGAGCTCTGGGAACTTGGCGGAGTCCTCAATCAGCGCGGCATTTCGATCTTTGCGAGTCTTTGGGAGGGTTGTGAGCCCGGACAATTTTTCTTCCTCGAAGGCCGTGACACAGTAGAGGTTACAAGCTAAAGCTCCGTGCGTAAGCTCTTTCCTTTTTTTTTTCTTGGCTCTTTTTCGGTCTCTCATTTCTCGATTCCTCCAGCGATCACGGACAGCAGATTGTTGCCGAAAGGATCACTGAGATGAGTCGTCAAGTTCTCCACGGGACCCTCGCCAGTCGCGTAAGCTTGGATGAAAAATCCCAGCATTGCAAACATTGCCAATCTCCCGTTTTTAATCTCCTTTACTTTGAGTAGAGCGAAGTTGTCTGGGTCCTTTGCGAGGCCCAAAGGATCGAATGGACCTCCCGGGTGGAGCCTGTCCAATCCCTGCCAGGTTCTCCCAAGTTGTTTCAAAATCTTTCTAAAGAACTTTGGTTTCTTACCAGGTTGTTTATCGATCTGTAGTACTCAGCTCCTCCAACAAGGATCACCTCGGCAAGAACAGCCAGGACGAGGTTGATTGGAATGTTTGCTCCGAAGTAATTCAGCGTGCCACCGTCGAGAAGCAGTGCTCCAGTCTAGAGGATAAAAGCAAAGATCTAAAAGCTCTCGAGAAAGTTTGCTAGAACAAACCTTGAACCACACTGCCTCGGGGCCACACTGTGCTCCAAACTTGTTGAAAGCCTCGGGAATAACAAATCCAGCAGCGCCGAGCATCGCCCATCGAGCGTGAATGAGTTCGTAGGCTTGATATCTAGAAGAAAAAAGATCAATCGAAAAGAAGGAACGATTTGCATGGATGTTTCTTACTTGTCGAAGTCCGCTGGCTTCTTGCTCAGTCCAAATGGATCAAAGCCATAGCTGCGAGAAGAAAGAGCTACGTTTGGATCCCAAGCCTTTCGTGGAAAGCAAAGAAGAACTTACTCTCCAGGAACTTCTCCTGTCAAGTACTCTGGCACGTCCGATCGATCGAGAATTCCCTCGGGGAGATAGATCCTTCTCGACTCCCCTGGAAAATCCAATCCCAAAGATTTAAATCTCCCAAGAATTGCGATGGACTTGGGCAATGGAGAGAAGAGATTTCCAGCAATGTAGATGCTAGGGCTCTTGGAAGGAACTCACCATACCACTTCGCGAGCTCATCGTTGGCTGGAGCTGGCGCTTTGGCCTTGGGCTTGGCGGCCTTCTTCTTCTTTAGCAGTGCCTGGACTGTGGATGATCTACTGCTCCTTCCGGCGACTGGCAAGGCGCCCGCTACCACTGCTCGTCCCAGAATCTCGGGCCTCGCCAAAGCCGCCATTGCCAGCTCAAGAAATCAAAGCTTTGTTTCTCCCCTCTACTACGTCTCTCTCCACAACCCGCGATCTCCACACTCGTATCCCCAATCCGACGGCCCAGATGCGCCGCATCCAACGGCTGGTAGATTTTGAGTTTGTGTGGCGGGAATAATTCGTGGAGATTGCAGGCTATCCAAAACCAGCCAATGGGAGGCCAGCACTAGATTATTGGATGAATCATTTTTTTCTAACACAAATTCAAGGATAGAAAAATTTTCGATCGATCGTTTTTTCTTCCATTTCACTGTCAAGCTTTTCGAACCGATCGATGTTTAGAGCCTGCAAAGCTCCAAAATATCATGGAGAAGACAAAATAGGAGCTACTCAAAATTGTGAGCTTCCGCCAAAACTTTCGTGCTAAATTCGACGCTTACGCTAGGAAGATAAACTCTCGCTGACGGAGAGGTGGAAGTGCTTGCCTCGAATCACATCGTATTCCTGCCCGTCGAATCGGACTTGGAGCTGCAGTAACCAGTGACTGATAAGTTCGCATGGTTTGGAAATCTATTACCTTGCTTTTATTGGCTTGAAGCTCTGCCTTGAGACGAGTCATGTCCCTGGACAACAGCACAGCTTTTACGTTCTCGACGAGCTCAGGATTGTCTGCAAAGAAAAGAAATGAGAAGCCCTATAAGCGTGCATCAGTTACCGGAACAAAGTTTCATCAGAGCGGTGTCATCGAATGCCAATCTTGTAGTGCAAATGACAAGCTTGAAATCGACATCAGATACACCAGAAAATTCTTCCTCGGCTATGACAACCTGCTTAGAACTCGTTAGCTTATGTTCAAGTAAGCACCACAAGAATTTGCTTACTGGTTTCGACGGCAGTTGCTCAAAGAATAGCAGAGGAAAGCCCAGTGACTCCTGAATGTAGGAGGCCTGCAATACCGATTTGTTCCCGCAATTGACTTCAAGAATGTGGTAAGAATGAAGCAACAAACCTGAGATTTAACCACTCCACTTAGTGCCGAATCGGCTGCCATCTTGATAAAAACTTCCACCGCATCAGTCGGCTCCAGTTTTGCTTTCTTTCGCAATTTTTGGATGCGGTTCACAACCTTGCGAAAACATACAATTAAGATATAGAATTTTATGAAAGCGTGCAATTATTATACCTCTCGAGCAATTCCCTCCTCGTTGAGGGTATCATCACCACGGAGATCCAGAATGACGACAACATCGCCTGCAGTAAAAGGAAGATCAGAGACAAGCACCAGCCTACTGGAATACGTACCATCTCCACCAGCATCGATATCCTCCTTAGCAATACCATCAGGAAATTTGAAGTCCCTGACTATCTGCACCGCAGAAACGATAGCTCTAGTAGGCAACGATGCTTCAGATCAACTTTACCTTCAAATCTCCAGTCACAAGAGTCTGACCGGCCAATACAGCTTCTCCGCGCTTTTCAAATTCGAGAATGTCATCCTGGCTCAAATCTTTTACTGCCGCCGTGATTTCGCCCATGGCTTTTCCAACCCTTTTGCCAAGAGCACTACAAGAGCGTACACGGCTTCAAGCATCCAGTTCAAACGAATCAACAACAAACCTGAAATTTGGAATTGCTCGCAAGCACGCATACTTGAAAGGATCATCGCAAGGCTCAAGCTCCTTCACGTTCATTTCCTCGCGCACATACTGCAAGATAAGTTTTAGCATCTAGCACAGAAAGAAATACACCACGTACTTCACCCAGCTTCTCTGTCAAGTCCTCAAGGAACTCCCTATCCGGATGCACAATGATCATTTTCCTGGATTCCGGTGTCAGGCGTACAATGTTAAAGTGGTAGATTACCTGAGAGGGGCCTTCAGAGGTAGCTTGTGTTTCTCGCGTATATTGCGAGCAAGCTCAATAACTGTCATCATACGGGATACACTTTGTTCAATGCGCTCATCAGTCTAAAGGATAAGCATAAGCATCATCCAAGTTAAAGTACCACAGATCTGACCTGGCCTTGAACTTGCGGAAAATCACAGTAGTGAATGCTCTCGCTGGAAACTTCAAGAACTCTTTTCAGATTTTGGTACAAGACTTCAGTAAAAAAAGGAGTAAATGGAGCCATAGCTCTGCATGTTGTCAAAAGAACCTGGACAGCTCGAAGTCATTGACCCGATACAACATAGAGAAAAGAGCACTTACACTGTACAGCGTTGACAATGCGACACGACAGTCATGGTCTCCAGTACGTCCTTTCAACCTCTTGCGATTAAAACGAACGTAAATGTTTGTAAGATTATCAATAAACTTGAGCAGATAAGGAACCACCTGTTTACAAATAAGAAAATATTAAGTTAACTCCATATATATAAAAATTTACTTACGGTGTATAGTCGATAGGCTCCCATCTCCTCCCTGACGAATTTCACAAGACTTTGAGTAGAAGAATTTATCCACCGATCCAGCACATTTGTCGATCCATCCAGTTTACTTTCATCAAGTGGAATAAAAGCATCAAAACCCTCCACTTGCAGTCTTAAGGCGTTTTGAACAAGGAAACGATATGCGTTGTACCAAGGAAGGAAAACATCTCTCACCTGAAAAATACACGTTTGTTCTTGATGATAGAATCGAAACGATTATCTTACCACAGCATGCACCCCCTCCTTTCGGAATTTAAGAGGCTCTGCACGAACTACCGGCGAGTTTATGAGATACAATCGAAGAGCATCCTGAAACATTACGACTGATAAACCCACACGTACGTTGAAGTAACACTTACTGCTCCATAGTCGTGTACAACGTCCATGGGAGGTGGATAGTTTTTCAACTTTTTACTCATCTTCTTTCCGTCTTCAGCAAGAACAAGGCCATTGCAAATTAGATTTCTGAAGGCAGGCTTGTCAAACAAAGCAGTCGACAAGACCATTAAGGTGTAAAACCTGCAAAAAGAAGCAATAATAAGAGATCGGAAGCATATTGTGTATCGACTTGTACCATCCACGAGTTTGATCAAGGCCTTCAGCGACAAAATGACCAGGAAAGTTCTTATCGAAAAGCTCGCGATTTTCGAAAGGATAATGAATATAAGCGTAAGGCATTGAGCCACTTTCAAACCAGCAGTCAAAAACCTATAAAAGAAGAAAGAAAATAAAACATTACACAACAGATGGAACTACTCACATCGTCAACTCGGTGCAAAACACCACGGCCAGTTTTAGAAGGAATCGTTATATCATCAATAAAATGCCGATGAATATCAGTTGCCTGCTTTGAGAAAAATAAAGCAGAGTAAAAGAAAGATGAAACGGGTATACCTTATGACCGGATAGTTCCTCCAATTCCTTTCTGGAACCTACCACCACCAATTCCTCGCCATCGCTGCTAGCCCAAATTGGCAAAGGTGTTCCCCAGAACCTACTCCTGCTGACCGCCCAATCTCTAGCATTCTCAAGCCAATTATGAAAACGTTTTTCCTGAAAAGCCAAGGTCAGTAAAAGTTATAAAATCCTAAGGAACTTCTTACTTTCACAAAATCTGGAACCCAGTACGTTTCAGCAGTATTTTGCAGCAATCGGTCTCTGAGCTCCTCGACCTTCACAAACCTGGAAAATAAAACTCCTTACTTCCGCCACAAATCTATATACGAACTTTACCAGCTTGGAACAGCTTTGTAAATCAGCGGTGTCTCTGATCGCCAGCAAAAAGGATAAGAGTGCCTTATACTTCCCGAATTTACGAGCCTTCCCATCGCCTACTCAGCATTAGCAGCATTAGCAGCATTGGAAATTTACAGTGAAAGCACAAGGCAAACATTTTTACCTTGATCATGGCAATGATGTCCTTGTCAGCAGATTTTACATGACATCCACTAAAATGCGTCACTTTGTCGGTGAAGTTGCCATTCAAATCGACGGGATCTGGCAAGTCGCCCCCCTGAAAACGTAAGAACGTGAGTATAAAACCAGGATCTAAATCGAAGTCGCAGACCTTGGCTATAATACCAGCCTCCATGCAGACACGGTAATCGTCCTCTCCAAAAGCGGGAGCACAGTGCACGACGCCTGTGCCACTGCTTGCAGTTACGTAGTCATCTGCAACCACACGGAATGCAGTATCTGACAGCTCCAAAAAATAGTTAAACAAAGGTTTGTATCTGCATGAAGATTGTGTTCAAGAAACGAGTAAAACTGGGAGAAAAAAAAAAAGGCATACCGTTTTCCAACTAACGCCGATCCTGGGAATTTGCTCAGAATCTCATAATCGCTTTGACTTTCTTTCTTGCTACCCTTATCCGCTTTAACTTTCACGGTGGGCAGAGAAGAAAGCAGTGGCTCGGCCACTATATAGACAGCCGAGGTTGATTTGCTTCTCACCTGGAAAAGCAAGACAAAGAGAATCTAGAACAAGTCAATAACATATAGTCTGGGCTTACTTTGACGTAGTTTAAGCTTGCATTCACGCAAAGTGCGATGTTACTGGGAAGCGTCCAGGGAGTCGTCGTCCAGGCAACCAAAGCGGCATTCTCGCTATCATCCAGGAGAGGGAACGCCACCATGATCGCTGGATCGTCAACTTCCTACCGTGCACCACTAAGTTAGTGACGATCTTAGAAACTTCACTCGACGAACCTTATAGTTTTGGTTTGCTTCAAAGTTTGATAGCGGGGTCGTGCACGCTGTGCTGTATGGCATCACCTACAAAAGAAATATTAACAACAGAGCAAAGAAAGAGAAATAGTTCTCACCTTGAAGCCACGATAAACAAGGCCTTTCTCAAACAATTGCTTGAACACCCACCAGACTGACTCCATGAACTCCGGATCCATCGTCTTATAGTCCTTCTCGAAATCAATCCATCGTCCCATTCTCACCACCGTCTTCTCCCATTCCCTGCTATATCTCATCACGATGCTCCGGCACTGCTCGTTATACTCGGCAATTCCCATCCCCTGGATCACATCCTCCCTCCGCTTGATCCCAAGCAAACCATCCACTTCGTGCTCCACAGGCAAACCGTGGCAATCCCATCCAAACCTCCTCGTGACGTGAAATCCCACAGCGCTCTGGTACCTGGTAACGATGTCCTTGATCGTCCCGGCGAGGATGTGGCCGTAATGCGGCAATCCCGTCGCGAAAGGAGGCCCATCGTAGAACACATACTCCGGCCGCCCCTCGCTGCGCTTGAGCTGCGTCTGGAACGCATCGAGCTTGCTCCACAGCTGCAAAATCTCCTCCTCCTTCTTGGGAAACGAGAAATCCTTGCCCTCCGGCACGGACTCCATCGCGCCGCGCGACGGTGACGACGCAGCCGAGCTAAGAACCCTAATTAAAACCCTAGAAATTCCTCGCGCTTGCTTGGGGGGATTGTAGCGCCCTGTGTAGTGGTAGATTGATGGCACTGTGATGTGGAGGACGATCATAGCTAGCGATCTTTGGCAAGGCTCCCTCTTCTTCTTCTTCCAGCCAGCGTTGCTAGCGCTCTCTAGCCCACATTGATAGATAAAAATCCCTGCATTTTTTTCCTTCCATGGAATGGCTATCCATTTATCGATCTAAGTTTTCACTCACTAGCTCCTTCTTCCATGATTGAGAGATAGACACGTCCAGCTCTAGCTCTCTCCAGAGATCATAGATTTTCCTTATAGAATGGCCATAGGAGCGGGCACAAATCACACCTCTGCTCCAACTTTCCTCGATCGATCGAAAGTTTTGGTTTTTCCGATCGATCGATCGATCCGGGGGCTCTAGAATCTAGAACTGGCCGCCGCTAAAGGTCTGTCCAAACTGCCAGTAGTCTGGAGCGACATCGTAGGCCGTGATCTTGTTTCCATCGCTGGTGGTGACCTCGAAGGACAAGCTCTGGCCAGTGAGATCCCCGCCATCTTGCCAGTTTTGGCCCCAGTTCCTCGTCATCGGCCGCCACCCGGTCTTGGATCCCTTGATCGACACCGCGCTCACGTCCCCGGTGCCGCCAACGTTCTCGATGAGCACCAGATTGAAGTAGACGTGACCATTGATCGTGAATCGAAGGCCTCCATCGCGCTTGCAGCTCACTCTGGAAGAAATCGAGACAAGTCAGTGACAAATTCGAGAGAGATCTCGCAAGAATCATGGAGAGGATGGATTGACTACCTCCGGTATTGGATTGGGACGTGACCATTGAGAATCACGGCGATGAGAGCGAATGCCGGCTGCGCGAGATCAAAGTGTTGCTTGGGAGAATCACACCATCCTCCATTGCTTCCTTGCGGGCACAGATTCGTGGCAGTGACAACAATGGAAGGATTCCCGGCGAGGCAGCCAGAGTCGCCCCAAGAACACCTCACTTCGAAGCAAGCTCCGCAAACGTGACCATCGTTAAACAGTGGGGCGCTCAAAGCAGTGGTGAGAACTCCATAGCCAGCGCTCAGCTGGTTTCCATAGCCACACGCGCCATCTATCACGGAAGTAAAAAACGAGAGATCAAAATCATTGGAACCTACTGTTCGTAAGAACTTACTGTTTGTTCCTGATGCATCACTTCCTCCGTAGTAAGTTGCGTGAGCTCCGTCGGTCCATCCTTCATCGCCACGGATTTGGCGAGCTCCAAGGAAGAAAATGGAGAGAAGAAGGCCAGTGGCCCGGGAAAAAATTTCCATGACCGCTGATCACTAGTTTTGAAACAAATAAACGGAAGAAGTGTTCTTCTGTTGGAGCTTCTCCAATCTGGTATCAGTTATTTATACTCGGGAACAAGATCGCAACTTCCTTGGCCTCAAAGTTACGGACCATATTTCGAGAAAAAAAAGAAAAATCAAATGAGCCGCAGTTTGACACAAGCCGTTTGGAACATGCCGGGTTCCGAGCTGAAAACTGACGACTTTTCGTCAGATTCCCAGATTTTCAGATTATTTATTTAGTTATTTCGAGAAAAAACGAATAGCTACAGTATTTGACAAGATAAAGCGCCAAAATAAAATTGAAAAAAAGAATTTCCTGAGCAACTTTTAGCGGAGTTCGGGATGAATGCTACTGTGTTGCTGCTGGGAAGCACAAAACGTCCGTGAAGCACTTCCACTGCAGCAGCCTTTTCAGACTGAGGAACAGGAGAGAGAAAAGTTGGTACACTTGAAATCATCCCCTCAACCGACGTGAAAGCATGCCTGCGAGGCAGAGCTTGCTCCTGCTCCCTGACACAGTTTTTGTCGCAACCAACATCCAACGAGACGAGGGAACAACTATTTGCCACTTTCAACAGGTCCTCTTAACCAACGGGGGTTGAAACTTTATCACTTTGAAAAGTTCTGTGGGGTTTGTCCCGGAATCGCATGTGGAAGGGTGGGGTCCTTGCTTGTTCCTTTCTTCATTGGTAAACATCGCCATGGCTTTTTAAGCAAGTGGATTTTGCGGTGATTCTTGTTGTCTAGCATGTGGTCAAGGGTCAGCGACCCCATTTACTAGTCAACCCGAGGCACAATTATTTGACTGGAAGTACTGACCACCATTGCACCTTAGCAATCACAGAAGAGCATTCTTTCCAGGCAGAAGGAAGTTTGGCTTATATATAGTTGAAATTAACCTCATTTGTGATCAAGGTTTAATGGTAATACTCTTACTTGTGCAAGAAGATCTCATGTACACTCTTGCTAAACAAGCAAGAATAAAATGCCACTGTCCCAAAGTTGATGGGTGAATTAGAGAATGAGTTAGAGCAACTCCAATATATGAGCAGACCATAACTTGATTATAGGGCGAGAAGCTGGATGGTGTCTTTTATAAGGTGGTTCACCCTTTGCAACAACCAGCTATAGGTCCATTTTTAAATTTTCAAATCTGCCAAAAAGCAGAACTTAATACTCATTAACTCTAGCTCTATCAGTGAAAAGCTGGATGGCATGTTTTATAGGGTGATAATCAACCTTCATGACAGTCAACTCTAGATCCATTCCAAAAGCCTCTCCCAAATTTTAAAATATGAAATAGTCATTCACTTCAACTCCAAATATTGAGGACCCTTATAGAGATTTCATGAAAACTTATTGATTTAACTTTAGGTTAGCTTTAAATCATTAACTCTGTGGTGCGGAAAATCACAGTAGTGAATGCTCTTGCTGGAAACTTCAAGAACTTTTGGTACAAGACTTCAGTAAAAAAAAGAGTAAATGGAGCCATAACACTGCATGTTGTCAAAAGAACCTGGACAGCTCGAAGTCATTGACCCGATACAACATAGAGAAAAGAGCACTTACACTGTACAGCGTTGACAATGCGACACAACAGTCATGGTCTCCAGTACGTCCTTTCAACCTCTTGCGATTGAAACGAACGTAAATGTTTGTAAAATTATCAATAAACTTGAGAAGATAAGGAACCACCTGTTTTAAATAGGTGAACTCCATATATACAAAATTTTACTTACGGTGTATAGTCCCCTGATGAATTCACAAGACTTTGAGTAGAAGAATTTATCCACCAATCCAGCGCGTTGTACCACGGAAGGAAAACATCTCTCACCTGAAAAATACACGTTTGTTCTTGATGATAGAAACGAAACCATTATCTTACCACAGCATGCACCCCTCCTTACGGAATTTAAGAGGCTCTGAACTAACTACTGGCGAGTTTATGAGATACAATCGAGAAACATTACAACTGATAAACGCTCACGTATTAAAGTAACACTTACTGCTCCATAGTCGTGTATAACGTCCATGGGAGGTGGATAGTTTTTCAACTATTTACTCATCTTCTTTCCGCTTCAGCAAGAACAAGGCCATTGCAATAAATATATTCTGAGGGCAGGCTTGTCAAACAAAGCAGTCAACAAGACCATTAAGGTGTAAAACCTGCAAAAAGAAGCAATAATAAGCGATCGGAAGCATATTGTGTAGCGACTTGTACCATCCACGAGTTTGATCAAGGCCTTTAGCAACAAAATGACCAGGAAAGTTTTTATCGAAAAGCTCGCAATTTTCGAAAGGATAATGCGTATAAGCGTAAGGCATTGAACCGCTTTCAAACCAGCAGTCAAAAACCTATAAAAGAAGAAAGAAAATAAAACATTCCACAACAGATTGAACTACTCACATCGTCAACTCGGTGCAAAACACCATAGCCAGTTTTAGAAGGAATAGTTATATCATTAATAAAATGCCAATGAATATCAGTTGCCTTCTTTGAGAAAAATAATGCAGAGCAAAAAAAAGATGAAATAAGCATACCTTATGACCGGATAGTTCCTCCAATTCCTTTCTGGAACCTACCACCATCAATTCCTCACCATCACTGCTAGCCCAAATTGGTAAAGGTGTTCCCCAATCTCTAGCATTCTCAAGCCAATTATGAAAACGTTTTTCCTGAAAAGCCAAGGACAGTAAAAGTTATACAATCCTAAGGAACTTACTTTCACAAAATCTGGAACCCAGTACGTTTCAGCAGTATTTTGCAGCAATCGGTCTCAGAGCTCCTCAACCTTCACAAACCTGGAAAATAAAACTCCTTACTTACGCCACAAATTTATATACGAAGTTACCAGCTTGGAACAGCTTTGTAGAGAAACTATTCACCACTTTCAACATAGTCCTCTTAACCAACGGGGGTTGAAACTGTCACTTTGAAAGTTCTGTGGGGTTTGTCACGGAATCGGAATCGCATGTGGTAGGGTGGGTCCTTGCTTGTTCCATTCCTTTAGTGGTAAAACATCTCCATGGCTTTTTAAGTAGGTGGATTTTGCGGTGATTCTTGTTGTCTAGAAAATTACAGTTCTCAAATATTCACTTCTCTTTTTATGAAAGAAGATGGAATATTGGTGTCACCGATCCCATTTACTAGTCAACCCTAGGGATGCGAAGTACTGACCACCATTGCACTTTAAGAAGAGAGTTTGGCTTTTATTAGTCAATCTAACAGTTGACTTTGTAATCAAGGTTTAATGGTAATATTCTTACTTTCATATAGCATGTACACTCTTGCTAAACAAGCAAGAATAGGCCAATCCAAAGCTAATGGATGCATTAGAGATCTAGTTAGAGCAACTCTAATCTTTGCGCAGACCATAACTTAATTACAAGGTGAGAAGTTGGATGGAATCTTTTATAGGACCCTTGCAAGAATTATCTCTAGATCAAAACTAAATACTAAATACTCATGTCATTGACTCCAATTCCATCAGGGTGAAAAGCTGGATGAGGGTGTTCACAAGGGTGTTCACTATAGTCAGCTCTAGATCCATTCCAAAAGTCTCTCCCAAAATTTAAAATTTAAAATAGACTCTAACTCCATCTTTGCTGCTTGCGGAATATTGAGGAGCCACCCCCACTCTTATAGAGATTTTATAAGAGAATACATAGAGCATTAACTAATTGATTTAAGCATGTAAATTTTATATTAGCTTTAAATCATTGAAGAAATAAAAGAAAAAAAGAAATTAAAAAAATTATTAATAAATAACTAAAGAGAACAATTTACCCATAAAGATTTAAATATAAAGGAAAAGGACCTAACAACAAAATGTGTTTTTGGGTTTTAATAGTATTGGGTTGGATAACCTCTTGGAAAGTCCAAATCCAAGAATTTACAATAGTAATAAAGAAATTAAAATGATAGAGAACTATGTGTATAAAAGTAGAAGTAAATAGATGTAATGAAATAAAAGTGAGAAGAATGAAAGAGATATAAGAAAATGAGGAGAAATCTCAAAATTACACATGCTTAATTTGATCTACTAACATATTTTACTTCCCAAAAAGCAAGAAGCTCTAGAAAGGAAGACCAAATTGAGTTAAATGGCTCATGATAAAGACAATATAACTATAATTATCAACATATCCAAATATGCATATCAAAACATTTAGGAAAAGATTCCAATTTGCATAAGTGGTTGCATTTAAATTATTATACCACTATAACTATTGTTAAATACCTAACATCCCTATGAATCCCAAGAAAAAATATTTAACTAAGTGTGAGAATTGATAATAAGAGCAAGACAAGCTTCACCATACATAGTGAATGTGACAATCAATTGAGCCTGATTATTCAATTATAACTATATATTATCAAGTAATTAAATCAATTGCTATTTTAGAATTAGAGAAAGGAGGATGAAAATACACTGCTCTGCCATAAAAATGAATAAAAAGAATTAAATTTAGATGATGAAAAAGTCAGATTTAATGCTTGGATTTGTGTTTTTTGTTTCCTCAAAAGACAATCAAAGCTACCTTGCACTGCCATATAGAATAATAACATTAACCCAAAACCTTAAATTATATATAGAAGTTGGATTGTATTCAATCTGATAACTCTCGAATCCCACTTTGTTAATATCATATATAGCATTTTACTGAACCTTACACCATAAAATTTAAAATATGGCAAACCATAATTGTTGTAAAGTAAAATAATTCTTTATGCCTGTTTAAGAAAGATATTTGCTATATAGGTTAGTGAAAGTTCTAAAAATGATCACTAAAGATCACTATCAATATTTTTATTTTAAAATGTTTTTCAAGTATACATAGTTGATTCCTTCTTAGAAAATAACTATTAATTATATAATTTATAGGTGTTATAATATGTTATAACTTGTGCTATTTTATATTACAGTAATTTAATATAAAGTCTGATAAAAAAAAACTTTTACAATTTATAGTCAAGATCAATGTCAGCTAAGTAAAAATTTAATATATTTTCAACTATAGAGTTTATAATTGGATAAATTTAAGAAAGAAGTACATATGATCAGATTGTTTTTTTTTAATTTGCTAATTAAAGTATTAGTTTTAGATTTGATGAAAACTCCAATTCCAACATGTAACTAACTTTTAAATGTTTCCAAAACTATTTTCAAGCTTTCAATTCAATTTAGAATAAAATAAAAGAGAATCTTCAACTATAAAACTTAGGTCTGTCTATACATAAATAAATATTAGAACAGATATTAGAATGACTATAAATTTTACAAACACAATAGCTAAATGCTATAGTAAGGAATGGAGAGTTTAATTATGATACTTTCAACAATTGTTTTGGCTTTACAAATGATTAATGTGGAATCAGTATGATATTTATATTTTTACAACTGATGTTCTCTTTTATCTAGGATTGTGGTGGATTAGGAATGTGCAAAAATCTTGATGCACTTGAAGCTGGGTAAATTAAAAATAGAAACACTAAATGGTTGTATTTCAAATGACGATAACAATCTTGTGGCTGCGAAAAATGGCAATTACCGTGATTCTTGTGGAAAGCCATCAGTTAATGGAACCGTTATAAGTGTAGAATGCACCAAAAAAGACGGGACTAAAAACACAGGAACAATTGATTTAAACCAAATTATGACAGCAAATAGTTATTCATTACGCTTTTGTGACTGCTAATTAATTTTAATTCTGGAGTTGAAACTGTTCATTAGAAATAAATAAAATTTTGCGTTGAATTTTAAAATTTAATAAAAACTGTTTAATACTGTAAGTTGTTATTAATTTATTAATCTGGACAGTACGAAAGTTCACACCAAAATAAGAAAGAAATGTTGGGTTGGCCATACGAGCACTACTGGGTAAGGGGCAAGTGGTCAAGGGTCAGAGAACCCATTTACTAAGGTTGCACAAGGAAGATTAAAAACGATGAATGGCTCAGATTTAATTTGAATTACCGCCAGGATTTAGGTTATAGGACGTCAAAAACCAGTACCGGTGACTTAAACCAGAAAATGCTCTCGTAAGCAAGTATAATGTGCATTGAAACCAGTTGCAAAATTGTTTGCTATCTGTGAACAGCGACTAGCGATTGTGTACAAGCATGCGTCAGATCGGTGACACCAACTGCTTGGCAATCTTTTGATCCGTGGTATCTGTGAAACGTTCTCGCAGAGTCATGGTTTCCTGCCAAAGACATGTTAGCAGCCACTTGTTACCATGAACTTCCGGGTATGAATCAGTTGCTGCGACTATGATCAACGCGAAGGGATGGATTAGGTCAGTTGGACTTCCTCCGATGGCTATCGTCCATCGCCTCATTCTCACCATTCCCAGCTATATACTCGGCAATTCCCATCCCTTGGATCCGTTTGATCCCAAGTATACTATCCAGTTCGTGCTCCACAGGCAAACCGTGGCAATCCCCACAGCGCTCTGGTACCTGGTAACGATGTGGCCGTAATGCGGCAATCCAGTCGCCAAAGGAGCTTGAAACACTCGAGCTTGCATCGAGCTTGCATCGAGCTTGCTCCACAGCAAAATCCCCTCCTCCGGCGCGCGACAATGACGAGCTAAGCACCCTCATTAGAACCCTAGAAATTTTGTGGGCGTTTGGCTATGGCGTCGGGTTTTGGGATCCGTGGTTTTCGTGGGCGTTGCTACGATCTCTTCATGGATTTTCGAGAGTGTATGACGCATTGCACGATCCCGCAAGACTGCACGGAGCTCCGCGAGGATTACTACGAGTGCCTGCACCACGCCAAGGAGGTCCGTGCCCCTGCTCTAGATTTTTAGGGCTCTTGCCATTGAATTGTTCTTCCAGCTCAAGCGCTGGTACCGGATCGACAAGGAGCGGCAGCGCCAGGAGAAAGAAGCAGCGGCCAAGGGAGCAGGCGGCAAGGAGGAGGAGGAGCACAAATCGTGAAGAACAATAAACCCGTGTGAGATTGATCCACCGAACGATCTTCTAGCAAGAACAAAATTTCGAGCTTGTGTTTGATCTTCATTCGTGCTTGGCGACCTTGCGCACAGACTTGCCATGGAGCGAGAACTTCTTGGTGGAAGCGAGGTAATTCTCCAGCAGTGGCTTGAGCACGGTAGCGTCGGCTTCCATCCCCGCCGCCTTGACCACATCGATTGCCGCGGGGATCACTGCCTTCTCCAGCTTCCTCCTCTTCACGCTTCCATCCGAGCTCTTCTTGATCTCCCGAGAGATGAGCTTCCGCCACCTCACAACCTTCGAGAAATCCATGGAAATCTTGCCCTCTTCTTTCACTGGCTCCTTGGGTTCTTGTTTGATCGCGCCATTCTCCCTGGAAGAATTCTCATTCTCCTTGCCCTCCCTCTCGCGCTTCTTCCTCGCTGGCATCTCTGCCGGATCTTTCGAGAGTTCTTGCTGGATCGGGCGCTCCTCCTCTGGATCCTTGGACTCTTGCTCGATTACGGCCTGGGCGGCGGGGGGGTTCCTGGCGGCGATGGCGGCCCTGGCCTTGGATCCATGGCGCTTGCTCTGGCCATGGACGAGCAAAACTTCCCTACCTGTGGCCTTGATGTGACACAAGCTACACGACCATGGCGGCCGGGTTGACAGCCCCATGTTGACAATCTCCTCCGCCACTGCTCCGCCATCCCTGTTCTTCCCATTCTTCTTCGCCGCCGCCGCCACGCCCTTGGGACCGTATTTTTCTACCTCACTCACGCATTGTGTGTGCTGCTGGACCGATTGGCGATCGAATTTTGCCCCGCAGTCAATGCAAGAGAATCCGGAGGCGCGGCAGCGTCGAAAGTGATTGGGGAGGCTGGGCTTCTTGAGATTGTCGTCGCAATCGTCACACTGGAACCACACCATGCTCCCACACAACAAGAAAAGCCCTAAACCCGTGAACCCTAAAACCTGCCTAAGGATTTATTAAAATAAAAAATACTTAAACACAATTTATTTATTTTATTTTAGTTTAAGAATTTATAATCCAAACATTTAGCTTCAAATTCAGAACTATGGAAGCACAAGATTTTGAATGCAAAATGTCTAAAGAGAAGAAAATCAATAAGTGCATTGGAATAAATATTTGCTATCATAGTTTGGTTTAAATTCACTGTTCAAGTGTTTTTAGTTTTATCATTTTTGGTGCATTCTACATTTACAACAGTTCTATCAACAGATGGTTTTCTTAAGAAGCATTTAACCACTAATTTAATTTCCCTTTTTAACCACTATAAAATTGCTATCATCATTTGCAATCATTTAGTGTTTGTGTAGTTGCCTCAAACCTATCATCCTACTAAGTATTCATTCTAATATTTATGCATATTCCAAGTCCACCACAATTCTAGATAAAAGAAAACATTAGCTATAAAAGTATAAGTAAAATTTAAAATCCTATTCCTTCCACATTGATCAATTGTAAAGCCAAGAAAGCTATCATAAATATTGCTATTAAGCTCTCCATTCCTACTATAACATCAAATTATTGTGTTTGCAATATTTAGAATCATTTTAATGACTTTCGAAGCATGTCCACTAGTTTTGTAAGAATTTGAAAGGGCTAAACTTTAGGTAATTATAACATGGAATTTTGTTCAAATTTAAAACTATTACTTTATTTGGGAATTTTTAAAAGGCTTGAATTGCTGGTCTAATGAAGACATTGATATTGCATTTACTTCTTATTGTTGTTTCTAATTATAAATTTTACATGTGAAATCATATTAAAGTATGTTAAGACCTAAACAATAAAAGTTAATGCTACCAACATTATATATAAATAAGTCTTAAAGATAAACCTATTTGTATGTAGGAATATTTTTGGAGAAAATCAGGTCAAAATAATTAACATAATATCAATCTTAATCTATACTACTGTTATATGGATGCTATATGTATAGATTGTTTTGTTTTAGATCATTTAGATCATTGTTAGATATCACATAATTATATACCTAGAAAATTATCATTACCATCAATTATGATTTTTTTGTTAATTATGTAATTTTATCATGTTTATATATATAGAGAGTAGTTGGACATTTGTGGAATAATGCATTGTGAGACATCCAGATTTCAGTGGAAGACATAGTCAATTATCTAGTGGTGGGCCATTTGGATCTTGGTACTACAACTCTCAAAGACCCATCATCCTTGGACATTTGTGGCAACAATTATATATGGATGACAAAGGAGAAGTAACAAAGTTACAATCTTGAATGTGATTGATGTTGGTCAAAACTTGAGTGAAGTGGTGGCTATGGCTCAACTGGATCCTGGTGCTCTATGAGCTCAAGAGCCACTTCTTTTACTGGAAAACTCATATGGATATCAATAGAGTTATATAGAATTTTTGAGCTAGAAAGAACTGGATTTGGCATCTTTAGTTGTGTGAGGAGGAATTGTAGAGCATTCTTTTGTGTCCCTTCACTATAAGCAATTGAAAGAAAGCCATTCTCAAAGGTACTATAAAAACTATATTCTCTTCCAAATTGGACATTTTAAAGATCTTGAGAATTTCACCTAGATCAATTACCTCCTTAATAAACATAATAATGCACAATAGATAAAGGAAAAGTTGGGGGCAAAATTATCCAATCTGTGTGAATAAAAATGATTATATTACATTGCAAAGGCTAAGACTCCTCTGTTGTGTAAGACTACAGAGGCAGCCAGTGAGCTTATGGACCCTTGCTCATTTTTCCTTATTACAAACCCTAAATTTGCTTTTTATATGATTGTATTAAATGATGACTTTAACCTTTTCATGATCTATAAACTCTGCAAACCCTAAATTTGCTTACGTTCGATCAACGTCTGCCACATTCAAGCTAGGATGTCTAAACCCATACATCTCCAACACCTGGTTGTCTCCAAAATTAAAAGCCCTCTCCATTTGCCTGCGGCAATCTTGTGGCGAGTAATTTGCCCATCCCTCACAAAACTCACACCCAGCAAAATGCGTCACAAATGGCCACCGATCGTCGCCCAGCCCAGGCTCAAATCTTCGCATCTTGTCCTCCAACTCCCTCACCAGAGGCACCCAAAACCCACTCAATGCGTACGAGTGCTCGAGAAAAATCTTCGCGCCCCATCTCTCCCTCTCGGCGTTCATCAGCCACAGCAGCGCGCCCTGGTCGTCGGATTCCAGATCTGGACGGCCAAAGAGCGTCACGTGGAGGATCTTCCCAATTCCGACACTGCCGGGACCGTCGGATCCCATCTGTGCCAGAATGTCCAGCAGATCGAGCGACCACTGGCAATTCCGGATCAGAAAGATGCCCATGTTGAGCCCCGTCCAGCTGCGGTTGCCGTACACGAGGTGATCCCAGCCGTTCATCACCAGGTTGTAGCCCTCGTACTTCCGGATCGGAATCCGGAAAGTCATGTCCGTGAAGAGCGCATCGCCGTCCATCCACAGGATCCACTCGAATTCCGGATGGGAAAGCATCACCGCCCTCAAGAGCGGGATTTTGATCCAGAATCCCGGCAGGGAACGCTCGAGCTTTGCAACGTTGTAGAACATGTCTATGCCGTGGAGCCGGCAGTAGTCCATCTTGTTCTTGGCGGACTTGAGCATGATGTGATCGCCCAAAGGATTCTCACACGGCTTTGGATGCGAGCTCGTCACCAACATCATCCTCTTCTCACACTGCTTGATCTTCCTCCTCCGTGAGCTCCTCCGCGAGTCCCAGTCGCTGATCTTCGGACCCAAGCTCATTGTCCTGTTCATCAGCGCTTCCATCCTCGGCTTGGACTGCTCGATCGGATCCATCGAGCCTGGATCGAAGCTAAAGATCTCTGGCTGTTGCTGCTGCTGCTGCTCGGCAGAGAGAGGCCTCCTGGTAGCACGAACTTGAGAAGAACTCGCTGCTACTACCGGACTGCTGCTATACAGCGCTCGGATCGTCCCAAGGATGAACAAGAGGACTAGAGCCATCCCGGTTATCCAAGAAACATGACCATCGAGAGCACGCTTACTTGTTATCGCTGCTAGAGAGCTTCTCATCGTCCTCGACATTGCTTCTTAGTCTTGTGTGTGCGTGCACGAATAAATCTTTTAAACGGCTGGAGCGTTGAGTAAATCGCTTCAGCTCAAATCGCGCTGGCCACGAGAATTAAAATGGAGGTGGACAATTTGTCCTGCTCCAGGCATAGAAATCTTCCTCACACGGATTAAACTGGCCTAGGAGAAAATCGATCGAGAATGAGAGCATACCTTGTGAATTACCTATAGTTTCTGGAAAACAAAAGCGGAATGCGTTACAAATATTGGATCCTGCTTCATACATAAAAACTAAAACCATTAACGTAAGGGGCCCAATTACTGGCTGGGGTCTTATTAGAGGTCAGTTATGTATCAATTAGAGTTCCCCCATTTTGCCTGCTCTTTTTCCATTTCCAGTTGTATGTCTAGGGATTGTCTATTATTATTGATCTTTATTCTAGAAAATCTTCAAATCTAGAGTTAGGAGAACTTGTTCCATTGCTTCAATTGCATTCTCAATTTTCATCGATAACTTAAGAGTAGAGTGGATGGACAAGAGCTGCTTTCCAGCATAGGAAAAAACCTTGCAAAGTTTGGTCTTCTAAGATTAGCTTTTTGATCAAAACCAAGAAGGTTTTTAGGTACAGAAAAGCTTAGAGAGGTCATTTTTCTTTACTTTGCTTTACTTGAAGTTACAAAAGAGGACCATATCCAAGCAGGAAATTGAAAAGGAACTTGCACAGCACTTCATGTGATGGTCAGCAACGTACCGCAACCTGCTAGCATACCAGAGGGCTTCAGAATTCAAAGAGCAGCTTAGAGAGCACTCACTACATTTCCATACTGGATGGTCATTGTTGGAAGAGATATAAAAGAATTCCCTGTAAAAGAAACAGTGTTAGTTACAACTATACATGCAGCCAGAAGGGTTGTCTAGAGCAACAGTACAAGTCACTAGACAGTCTGCTCGTCTCAAAGCCAAGATCCAAGAGGTAGAGTTGAAGATTCTATAATGGTTCTTATTTTTATTT